ATCTTCTCTAATTATCAAGTATAGCCCCTTTTCTGAAAGTAAATGTTCTCTGGGTGGTACTTTAGGGAGGTCATTTTTATGAAATTCTCATTAATATTTGAGATAGTGGAGAAAACCTGGTTCTTTAGATTAAAAAATATTAAAAGATTAAAAATTAATAAGGTTGTCATTGGCGTTTTTATTCATTTTTTTGTTTTTATTTTTTTAATATTTTTTAAACAATCATTATTGTCATGAAAATGCACATTAAACTTTGATATGACATATATATTGTTGACAAAGCATCACTATCAACTGAATTAGGTTCAGAATCGTTTTTTCGTTAACAATGGCTTATTGTTGCTTACAGATATACATTTAATTCTATGTAATTTCCTTTCCAAACTTCCCACCTAAAAAAGTGTCTGCACCCACTTGCGAATTTGCCCATACTTTTTTAATTTTTTTTTATTTTATAAAATAGAATAAATAGTGTTGTTAATGATAAGTTATTGCATACATTTTTTTTTTTATTGTTATTGTTGTTTAATTTACTCCGTGTTAAGGTGGAGCGGGAGAGGGGAAACAAAGTCCCCGCAGGTCACTGGTCATTTATCTGGTACCGATCGATAGTTTATAAACGTATATCTGAGGCCTTCAATCGCTGGGCACACGTAGTTCCGATTTAATAAACATAATAATAATAGTGTATAAATATTTGTCAAATCGTTTTAATTTGATTAGCGCTTTATTTTATTGGCTATAAGTCACTGCAATGGCTGATTTTCAACGTTTTTCTGAAAGAGGTTTTAAAAAATTACATTTATTTCAAAAGGGGGGGAGGAGTTGGTTCGTTTGCAAGTTTATACACGGATAGTTGCGTTTTTATACATTATATTAACAAAATCGTTCTATTCTATAGGGATGCGTTCGTTACGGATATCTACAATACAGCGCATAATCTAGGTATATAGAATTATACAAGAATGCTACTAAACACTGACCAATTTTATAAAAAACTGAAAAATAACGACGGCAATATTAAAACATTAACATACAAATATAATTTAAGAGGACGCATTATAGTAACATTTTTTGCCACCTCTATCTATTTGGAAGTATATCAAAAGTATGTTTTCATACTTCCGTATGAGTCCTAGAGATGTATCTAGTAGAAATTAAATAATAAGAAATAAAAACGACGGATATACTTCACACGTGGGCGGGCTACTATTGTAGGTGAGTTGGAAAGATAAAGGGCAAATTTAAAGTTTATCTGTACGCAACGACTAACCATTACTAACGAAAAATGATTCAAAGCGGAGTTCGATTAATAGTTGTTTATAATACTAAATAATTTTGCTTTGTCTACAATATATGTGTCACATTCGTGTAGTCTCATTTCGCCGACAAAAGATCAGTTTTATACGGTTTGATAAAAAATCCCATTTGGCCAAATACTATTTTGTCGAATTAAATTTTGTTGAAAAAGCCCAAGTTTTTACTTTATCTACGTATTATTAACGGCTAAATTATTATTGCGTTTTGTAATCATATCACTGATAAAGTGACAAAAGTAATAAAAACCTACGAGTACTCAGTGTATCTACAAGTCTACAAATGGATTTATACGCACTGTCATACTCTTTAATCTGCAGTCACATTCGCCGTACATGCAACCTAACCGTACAATTTTAACAGAGAATAGCTATGTCTTGGTATAAAATTAATTCAAACCATGACAAAAATATATTAGTACTATATTAGTTATATACACAGGATTAATAAATTAATGGACATAATGAATATTATAAATGTATCAATAATAATGTATAATATCAAAAAGCCATAACTCATAATCATCCAACACATGGAGTTGAATTGCCACACCGTGAATTTCGAGATACTCTAAAAGTAAAAGAAACATTTTCTTTTTTATGCTATAGTTTGTTTGCAGTTATATTTTATTAAAATAGTAATATAAATTTATAAATGTATACCTATAATCAAGTTCAAAATCAAGTCACGTATATTAGTTTTCTGTTCTGGTAATATAATATGTATAACATTTTTTTCAAATTTTTGGTATTATTTCTCATCATGAAGAGTTCAGTTGATAGTTAATTATAGGTATTAAATTATTTTCAAAATGCCTAGGTAAAATTTATTATAGTAAAAACTATAGTAGTTATTTAATGTGCTTCGGCCAAATGGAATTCGGTGAAATAGGATTCGGCGAGATACGTTCCGAAATGGGACCTAAATCGTCACGTTTTGGTAAAATAATAACATAATATGCATTAGATATTTCTTAAATATTGTATTTATTTTCCCGTTTTTTCTGGTTTTTCCCATTTATTGGGAAAACTCCTGAGGAAATCAAAAATGACTTCATCAAGGTACCTCCTCAGTTAAATTTCCTTTTATGAAAATTGCTATCATCAAAAATCTAAGCAAAATTGCTGGTAGAAAATTTATCTACAGTTAAAAAAAATAAATAATAACAATTAACATCTTTGTAAAACCAAAAGCTTCTTCGCTCACTCAGAATCTAAAAAATTATATTTTAATATAAGTTATTATATACATATTCTTGTTTTAAAAGTACTTACATATTGAGAAGAGTCTCCTCCTTTGTCACCACCCCTGAATAGACATACAAATAGATTATTTCTTATTTCACCAAAAATTCAACTGTCTTTATACCTATACATTTATTAGTTTATTATAGGCATATATCACAAAACGAAAAATAATAAAAAATATACATATATATTATTTTTTTTTAAAGTTTGAAGTATGAATAGATTATCTAGGAATTAAATATACCCCTCTTTGAATTAATAGCAAATGTTTTCGTCTTCAATTTAATGAAATAATTTTTGGTTTATGTCTATTAGACCCTTATAAGAGATATTACAAGAACACGTAAAATATTACTGTCTTCTAACGACTAAACACGCAGTGGCGTGTACGAGAAGCTATTTGAAAATGTATCTTACCTCAGACCTAAAGCAAAATATACTCACAACTGGAATATGTTTTAAAATCAAACAAATGTAATCGATTTTAAAATAATATACAAATCAGTAATACAATACAATAAATTCCGAATATATTAAAACACGAACGAGTCGAATCGTTTTTAGGTATTGAACGAGATAACTATAATATGTATACTGTATAGGTTTCAAAATTATATTTTTTTTACTACTATTTCCGTCAATTGAAGAACTTTTGAGTACGATAATAACCAGATGGATCCAGTTATTTGACGAAATGAACGGTTCGATTATTTCTGAACGAGAAAATTATACTCTTATGCATTGACGAGACGAATTCGTGTACGGAAATTGCAATTACGTTATTAAACGAAATTCTAGATTTTACAATAAAAGAACGAGAAAACTTTGTTGTGTTTTTAATAAAATTCTACTAAAAAAAAAAAAAAAACCAAGAAAACTAAAAAATTGAATAATCATTTGATCACGAACGCGATATTTCCAAAACGGTTTTTTTTTTCATTTTCGTCTGATAACGGCACAAAGCTCTCCGACAATATTGCGATTAGGTTCGTTTCATACTGTTCGTCCGCGCGCTAATATTATTACGTTATAATGGTACATGAATCCGGGAATAGGTATTTGCAATATAATATAATATGCGCGTAGCTATGTTAGAAATTAGTGTGCAATAATGACGTATAGGGTATTCGTCGTTCGACCGGAAATAGCGAACGACGAAGACGGCTAAGTAGCGGATATCGAGTTACCGACAACTATATCGTCAAGGGTAAATAATTCTCGGTAGGTAGTAGGATATTATTATTATTATTATTACCGTTGTTGTTATAACGTAATTGCGACTCCGCGCGTGTACGCGATCTAATAGACACAAGAGTCGTGATTTTGCCTATATAATGCCCCTTAACGGTGAAGTTCATAATAATATTATTGTTAACACGGTCAATGTTAATTCCAGAAAATTTGTCTAAAGGAGGGGGCGTTATTAATTATTTTTGCTTATCTACTCTCTTACAAAAATCAGTCAAATGTGTTTAATTATTTAATTAATTCTTAATTTACCCGCATTTAACAGAGGGGGGAGGGGCAAATAAAATTCAAAGGGGGACTATCGCCATCCATGTCATATACCTGGCTTCAACACTGAATACAATGTTGTCCGACACCGATTTCAGCAGCTAATAATGATTACAGTACTCCGGTTTACTGTTCCGAGCCTAAGGGCCGTTCTCACCAACGTAAAAAAAAGGTGTTTATCTGACTTTTAAACTAAGTAAAGTAAAGGCTGATTTCCTACCATAATTGGTCGATTATCTTATAAATTCAGTTTAAAAATCAACGTTTACGAATCGCTAGACGGCCGTTTCGAACATGTTAGTCCAAAAGATTAGGCGCCATCTGTGACAGTGTTTCAATTATATTCAAAACCGGTCCGCCACGTACCCGTAGAATAAATGTTCTAATAACATTAATAACTAGTGAAAAACGAATGATAATTATTTTTAAAAACCCTCTAATACTGTCAAATGTATAATATCAAATATTACGTATACGAACAAACCATATTTAAATTAATTAACATACGATATTTTTAGTACATGGATATTTTCACCCGTGTGAAATTTAATACTAAAAGGCGGCCTTTTTTTTACTCGTGTAAATAACAAAACGGTTAGCATATTATAATATCCTAATTCAACGTAAAAATGATAACATTTAATGTTTCGCTGACATTTCGTATTGTATAACAACAATTATAAATTAATAACACAATCATCATATTAAATCGTTATCGCGAGAGTCGGAACACGCCTGTTTTCCGTACGTTTTAGACCCAATCAATAGATGGTAGAAAACTAGACATGAATATGTAAAACTTATTTAGTACGCTCTTCGTCGGGATCAAAAGATCGTCTTAGATGGAAATTGATAAAAGGTGGTATCGAATTTATGTACTAATATTACTATAATCTTAAAAAAAATAAAAAAACATGTACCACGTATCAAATTGACGACACTTGTTCAACGCGCTTGAAAATAAAGAGTCCATTTGTATTTTTGTTTTTTTAACGGTGAATACGATAGGTAAGCGTAAATTTTGATTATTTTAACGATCGCTAAACTACTAAAATACGCTGTCGTCTGCTAAACAACTTAATAAGCGACTTATCCGTTCAGATAAAAAAAAAACCAAACGTCTAAGATAGGAAATGTCCAGTAACAGGTGGAAAACAGCGCTTTACGCAGAAAAGCGGCTTAAGCGAGTTTTCCTGTAGTTGTCAACATGTGATTTTAATTTTTAAAGTACGAATGAAGTCGAGTTGCAGTTTTCTGCCGTTTTGAAAACCTCTGAAATTAAAAGAAATTATTTTTATAAAAAATCCTCAAAATAACCGCATTCAGTTTTAATTTTTTAGAGGCGGGAGGGAGATCACCAGATTTTAAATCGGAAAATCGACTTCCTAAAATATGACCCGGACAATTCGTCATTAAATCCATACGATACAAAATTGAAACCGGACATTGGGGAGTTTGTCTAATTTTCACCGCTTGTAAAACGTCCGTAAAAACGGCTGTACACTTCCCCTTAAACGGAAACTTCCAGCGTATTCTAGTGGCGCCGCTGGCCATGATAAAAGATGAAAAAAAATCTACAAATTGTACGCAACTTTTCGTTTGTTTGCACGAACTCGACTGGAATAGTACACGTAGTGGTGCGTTTGAAGTCGGATTCGTCGACCATCATCGTCTAATCCGAGTGTCGTAAACGTTCGAGTAACGCGTTAATTTCCGATAAATACCATACGCGTTCAAGTAAAACCGTTCGAAATCGGACGGACGGTATTTCAATGCGTAATATTATTGTAAACGCGCGTTATCTCGCCGCACGTGTCGCGGACGCGAACGCGCGCGTTAAATAAATCGAACGACAGTATTACAATAAAACGGTCAACGATAAAAAAAAAAAATAATAATATATATATCGTTTTACCAAAAAATTACGACCGTCACATGAAAAATACAACATTTTATGGTTGAATATAATATACATCACGGTGTATACGAAGATGTCTCGTATTGTCCTAATCAGACTTCGGCGGTGTGGGCGGATATCGTACGATAATAATACGCTTGCGGGACTGTAATTACAGAATTATTATTATCGTATATTATTCAGACGGGTTATTTTTGTAACGTAGTCGGATAGTAATGCGCTAACGCGTGCGATGGGATTTATAGAGAATTCGTTATTCTGTCGTATCGCTCGATACACAACATGGCACGAAAATCACAGGAACATAATATTTTACACGAAAATCCGGTTGATAATAAGCGGAACTCGAAAAGCGGATTTTCTTTTTGGCCGTACTTTAACGCGTACGCGGCATAATCAGAACCGTTTACGCAGAATTTTTCGTCAAAAGTTATCGATTTATAGTTTCAAATACATATGGAATTTATTAGCATTACTCATTCGGTCTAAACTTTAAACTGTTTAAACTGTTATGAATCATTAACGGTAAATCTGATATGATATAGTGTTATGCATATCAAAACGAAATATTGTCTATTTAAGTGTTGCTGTTTAAAAATCCAAAATGTACACTGATTTCGGACATGTGTAGGAAAGAAAAATCGAAAACAATATGTGAAAATAAATTTTAAACAATTCTACAATGATTAAAAAAAAAAAGAGACTAGCATACTTCGCACGTGGGTGCAGCCATCGTTGTAGGTGGGAAGTTGGGAAGGCAGTCTACAGACAGGAGTTGAATGTATATCTATAAGCAACGATATATCATTGCTAACGAAAAAACGGTTCTTCAAATTCAGTTGATAATGTTACTTTGTCAACAATACGATTTATGTTATTATGTCATATTATGGTAAAATTATTAAAACAATGTGTGCTTCCATGACAACAATGATTGTTTAAAAAAAATAAAAATAATAAAAACTTAATAATAACAAAAAAATAATAAAAACGGTTTCTAATGAGACAACCTTATTTTTAATCTTTTAATCTTTTTTAACCTAAAGACCTAGGTTTTCCATATTATCTCGAATATTAATGAAAATTTCAAAAATAACATCTCTAAAGTACCACCCAGAAAAAATTTCTTTTCATAAAAGGTTCTATACTTGATAATCAGAGTATGCTTTCTGGTAGAAAAAGTGTTCACGTAAAAAATATTTTAAAAACCAACACATTCTTCGTTCCACTCGGAATCAAAACAGAAATTGAATTCACTTCAATTAACAAAGAAAACATATTTGGATACAATAATATGTTATCAGGGAGAAATGTTGTTCGTATTCACATTGCTAATTTAAAAAAAAAAAAAAATCAAAACTGTATAGACGATTGTCTGGGAATTATAGACGTATCAAAATATCCCTTATTCGTGGAAATATAATGCGAATGTTGTTGTATTGACGAAATAATTATTCGTTTCGGGTGTATTCGAACCGGAATTCTGTCGGACGTATTAAAACTCCTGACTAAATTTCACCCAAAAATACACGTTTTTCTTTAATTTAATTTTGCGATAACAAAATTAGATAGGTGCCTATAGAATGAAAAATTATAGACGTTTAAAAATCTGACATTTTAAACCGTATATTCCAACTCGAATAATGTGTTTTGTCTGTATATAGCGTCAAAAACTACGAACAACAACGACAATTGCGAGTTCTCCATTGTTTCTGGTGAAAATCCGGCTCGTGCGCGCGTTTCTGACGTTAGTCCGACCGCGAACGTTCGACACGCGCCGTCGACGTGCTGCGCTTAGCGCCGGTACGGTGTCGTCGGGCCCGGGGCCGCGGACGACGGCCGATGCGCCGGCGGCGAACGGTTCAAAGCGGACCGCGTCCGACAGATGGCGGCACCGCTAGGCCGGGCGACGCGGTCGCCGCCACCCCCGCGCCCACACCGCGGGCCGGGTTTCTTGGGGCGGCGTTTTTTATGCAGCGCGCCTGCCCGGAAAAGCTGCGGGTAAAGCCCTCCGCGGCGCCGCGCGCGTCTTGTCGCCAGGCGCCCAAGTCGGACGATCGCCACCGACGCCGACTACGCCACACTACCGTCACCGGCGGCGGCGCAAGTCTTAAGTGCCGCGCCAGTCTCTCACTCGGTCCGCGAACGTAATGCCGACACATCGTCGTCTTCTCGTTCCGTCGACGGACATCGCGCGATCCCGTTAAAAATACACTTGACCGCCGCTACTGAAATAAAAATTAATTCGCGGTAAATACCGTCGTTGTTAGTAATAATTATTATCGAGTTTAGTTTGTTTTTTTTTTTTTTTTTTTTTAAATTTTATTTTCGTTTAATTTTTATCGCGCGCTCGTGACACACACGCTACTCGTCCGGTAGTTTTACAAAATTTCCGCGGTTGTTGTTTTTTTTTTTTTGGTTCCCCGCGGTTTTATTGTCGCCTGTTTTTTTTTTTTTTATTTCCGGAAAACACAACACTCGAATCCGTACAAAATAGCGGCGACACAACAGCTACCGCGACGTGGACCGCTTCAGCCGATATTCACGACCGGACGTCATTCACCGTCATTGCACACCAGTCGAGTAAGTTTTTTAGTTTTTCTCCCCCCCAAAAAATTTTCGTTAACATTTTCGTCCGTCTCTGTTATAATTCTATTCCCTCCCTCCAGTTTAGCGCGCGCGCCATCGTGCACCTGTTCGGACGCCACCGGGAACAGCAATCGCCGGGGACAGTTGGAATTTTTTTTTATTTTTTTTTTTTTTTCTAAACGTTACACGGGTACGGCCAAAACGAATTTTTCGCGGGTCAAATGCGTTTCACTGGTGAAATTTTTTTTTTTCGTAATTTTTTCCCGGGTTTTTTATAGGACGGCCACGTCCGAAAATAATTGTATTTTTTATGCTCGCGTATTTACGTTCGCCTGTTCAATTATTTAACGCGTCGGACGCAATAGGTGCGAAAGGGGTGAAAACCAGTTTCGTTTAATTATTTCCGTCCCGCGCCTCTTCAAAAGCGTATCGCGCAAAGAAAATATTAAAACAATAAGACGCGTACGCTTTTTTTCCAGTACGAGGAATTTTCAATACTTTTTTTTTTAACTCCTTAAATAATATTATAACGACGGTGTAGTTTATTTTTGGTGAATTTAAAACGAACGAAATGTAACGAAAAAAAATTAAAATAAATATTAATAATAGTAAAAAAAAAAACCCCACACTCGAAAACAAATAAAACAAAATATCAAAAACGCCCGCTGATATTTTTTATACATTAATTAGGATAGTTTTTTTTTTTTAAGTTCAATAAGTATATGCGATAAAATAATTTTTGAAATTTTCCCCGTTATTAACAAATAAATCTAGTAATTCGAAATGTACGGAAAAATAACAGTAGCTACCGATTTATGTAATTACCCGCGACGGGATAAAAAACTAAATAATTATTTTTCATAAAACCGAAATGATTTTTAAAAAATAAATAATCACAGTAATAATAGTAACGTAAAAATGTTCACTACTTAAAACTTGTTATTATTTTCGACGACCAAACGACGGAGATAATTTTTGATTTTCTATATTTTTTATTTTTGTTTCGAACTGTAAATTAATATTTAAAGGTATTACGAACTTTATTTCAACGATAAAAAAACTACTACGGCCAGTATAATAAATGAAAACATCGCCTAGTTTAAAACGAAAAAAAATAAATATTAAAAATATTAAAATTAAATTTATCGTAGGTACATTATTATTATTATTTTATTGAGTCGATAATTAAAAGTCAATTAATCTTTGGAAATTTTAATTTAAAAAAATGCACAATACCACGACGAATAATATTATCAATTTGTTTAATTTTTCCCGCAATAAGGACTTGAACAATAATTTCGAATAAGGACGACGATTATTTTGATAATTTTAATAAATCCGAAATAATCGAAGGGATTTAACACTTATGGAAAAACGACTCGACTGGACAAAAAGGGTGATTAATTTTTAATTTTTTTCCGGAAATCTCCGACACCGTGGAATAAAATATTGTTTCGTCAAAAACTCGGTATTTGATTATATTTCCGAAAAAAAAAAATGATTGTTGTAAAATTATTTTATTCGTAACATAATACTATTGTCGCGTTAAACACAACGAAAAGGGTAGTAAGTTAGTCTGTCTGTCATTTAATGTCCCCACGGCGTATAGTGTGGCGCGCTCTATGAACCTTATTTCGTCGCCATTCGTGTCTAGGTAAACGCAGATAAATCCCGCGGTCGTTTGAAACGAACAGACAAATAATATATTTTATCACGCGTATCCGTCTGTCGGAATTATTAATCTCGGCAGATTTCTAATTTTTCACAAGTCCGACGGATCAATTTAACGAATTCTGCTCGTGTGTTTTTCGTACGGCGACGACGAGGACGCGATATATTTAGTTCATTACGACGCGCTCGTTTCTCCGATAGATGTCACGACGTGTACGCCAGAAAATCAAATATAACACTGGTATTATTATATTAAGAAAAAAAACCCGAGAAATCAAATTGTGTTCCAATAACGCCGCCGTTGTTCGGTCTTGCGTACTTATATTTTAACCTAATAATATTTTTCGCAGGTTTCTTTTTTTTTTTCGTCGTGTTGAAAATTTGTATTGATCTCCCACCGCCGTCGGAATAAAGACAATGATATTTAACGACTCGCACGATTACAATCAACCCTCGAAATCGGTATAGGTATAATTTTTCACGAGCGGCCCGGTTTTAAATTTCGCGCGTATACACTTTGCGCGATTTCGAACGCGAAACGAACGTTTAATCCGATTTGCAAAACGTTTCCAACGGCCGTGCAGTAATATTATTGTAATTTAATCGACGGCCGTTTTGTCGGAATCCATTTATACGTCGATACATAAATAATTTTCAAATGTCCACGGTATTTTTTGCTCGCTTGCTTGTTGGAAAACTTAAAGTACAAAATGTATCACCGCGGACAACACACTACGACTTTCAATAACAGAGTTCGAACGATTTTTGATTCGAGAACTCGCACAAGAAAATGTCTTCAATTAAACCTTAAAAAACTTAAATTGAATTTCGAATTTTGAAGTTTGAATTCAATTTTTAATGAAAGACGGAGAATCAATCGCCGAACGCTGTTTCGTTTTCGCGGCGAAAAAACGCTTCTTGACGTTTTTTCGATCGGAGCAACGGCAGAAACATTGTTCGCAGACGAAAGACGGAAAGAGGTTGAAAAAACACACACACACACTCATCATGATATAACCAACGAGTTACACGATATGTATGCTCAGAATCTAAAACGCTGCGGTTTAAAACAAGAAGAAAAAAACCTAACCGTTTGCCGCGCGTAAAACCACAAGCGAAAATTGTACCGCGACCGTACAATATTAATCGCAACAGACCGTACGGCTATAATCGTAACCGAACTAATATTTTTTAATCGGGGTTGCGATGTGATGTTTTCGCCCAGGTATTTATCGATTTTACGCGTAGCGATTACTCTCGCGGTGTTTAGGAATTGCAGTTACGAATCGTGGACACGAATGCGCGTTATTTTAGACGAGCTCCCGGCTTTGTAAATACCAGGTCTCGGGGACTTTGCGCGTTTAAAATCCGTAAAGAAAAAAGGGGGGGGAAAACCTATTGCAAAAGAAAATAATTGTTTCGCTTCAATCATTGTGGTGTTAGAAATTTTGTGTTTAACGAGTTGGAGCAGTCGGAGTTGGCAGACTCACGACCACCCGTCCGCTGTTTTTGCTTTTTAAACATAATTATATATCTTCTTTTTTTTTTTTTACGGTGATTAAAATCGCCGGTACATAACGCGGGCGGTCGGTAGTAAACGCGGCGGTACATTTGGTTGCCGCGGCCCGTCCGCCGAAGGGGTAAAACCGATTTGTCGCCGACGACGTTGGCAGGGTTTTATCGGCGATACCGTCGCAACCGGGATTATTAACCCCCGTGAAATTCCACGCTCCATTTTGCCTTCTCCGCTAAATTTTCCCTAGTGAAATTTTCCCGGGGGGGGGGGCGGAGTAAACATTCGCTAGTGACATTTCCTCCTCCCCCAACCGAATATTTTACAGAACGGTGAAATTTCACACGGTAAATAATCGCGGGTAAACCGATGAACGGTTCGCCGAAACGGTTTGTTCGCTGCATTAGCGGCCGTTCGGAACACGTCCGTTTCGTCGCAAACACGACGCAGACAATAATATCGTTGGCGGCGCACGTTTCGTCGGACGTTGACGAAACATCCCGCGCGCGTTTCGGCCGTGCGTTTTCCGTGTAAACCCGGTGACCGCCGATACGGTTTAGCGGACAAACCGTTCTTACCGGCGTTGTACTACGATAAGCCGATGCGCTTTTCGACGGTACCCCGGCTGTAAGAATCGGCGCAAAAACGAGACGAGCCCGTGTTTTTCGATAACTCGTTGTAATCGTTCGCCTTGCGCTTTCCGGAACCGACTCGGTTTTCGACGGAACAAAACCCGGAACACGTTCCAACACGGATTATACGGAATCGTAATCCCGTTCCCGTACGGGTAATTCGTCGCGGTCGAATTTAAAAAAAAGGAACTTTTTTTTAAACTTTAAATTTACCGTTTTATTCGATTTGGATTTCAATTATTCTGTGAGGATTCCTAAACTATACTTGCGATATCGTCTGGGCACATTATTTTGTAAATATGTGTACGCAGAGACGAAAGTTTTATTTTTTTTTTATTTTTATTCTTTATCAGATTACGTACAAACCGAATCGCTCGTCTTTGCAGATTATTACCGCATACCGTACGGTAAACGCGGTGACGCATTTATAAGCCCCCCGCGCGGGTCAAACGAAACGCAAACAAACTGCAGTTTACCGAAAATCAACACGTTCGGATGACAGTCGGCGTTTCGACAAAACGGGGCAAACGCCCCCCCCCTCCCCCGTTCCTCCGATTTCCCGTCTATAAACGCGTGCCGGATTTCACCGATGGAAATTTGTACGGCTTGATAAACGGCGGCGGTTCGGTAATATACCGGACGAGTGCGGATTTGGCCTCGGGTGGGGAGGAGTGGGAGGGAGCGCGAGTAGGTGGAATGGAAAGAAAGTCGTGGCGGCGGGTGTGCCGGAAAAGACGACCGCAGTGGCGGCGGCGGGTGCCGGAAAAGACGGCGGCGGCGATTACTACATTATAACGTCTATATATTCGTATATAGGTATTACAATATATATATATATATATTTATTGGTAGCGGCGTGCTGACCAATAAGAACGCGCGGGCGGCGGCCGTTCGGACAAAACAAGGGAAGTCGTTAAAGTACGCGGAAATTTCCGTCCGCCAATCGCGCCCCTCCCGTAACCCTCCCCCGCGTGCCGCGCGACCCTCGGCGACACCGTCTCAAACGCGCGGCGCACCCTTATTACGACACTGTACGCGGCGACGGCGACGGCGACGGCGACGACGACGACGACGACGACGACGCGACCGTCACGACTCGCGACGACCAACGACTTTCTATTATTGTAATGACAACAATAATAGTCGTACGCATTAATATATGCCGTTATGTATACCTACACTGCGCTATGTGCGCTGCATTTGTTTCGCCGCGATAATTACCACGAATATTAGCATATAATATTCTACGCTGCACTATTTTCGCGCGCATACAGGGTGCTTCCCGAACGAGGATGCACTACACCGGGGGCAGGCAATACAGGCTCGCGGCTCGCGGAGAGGAAATAAACGGACCCGCTAAAATTTAGTTTTACTTTAACGGTGGTTTTTCGTTTTCGCTATTTGTCTCCGCGTGCAGATCGAGAATATCCGAGCGTCCGAACGTAAAACGAATGTATTTATGATATAATGTTTGGTGTATTTGCATTTTTGTTTATGTTTTTTCTGGAGGTTTTAAATAAGAGAGAACACCAAATAGATAGAAGTTGAATATTTTTTTTTTTTTTTGCTCAGCTCCGAAAATATACGGTCCGCGAACATTTTTGTTTCAAATTATCCGGCGATATTTTCATCTAGATTCGCTCGGCGTTTATTTAAAATTGTTAATAACCGCTCGATATTATTCGCGAGATTTCCATGCGCGGATCGAATCGCGCAGCCGTTTGTTTTTTTTTTTCATTTTTGCTCTATTCGGGCGACAAGAACACGTCTCGAAAACGCGGCGACAATGATCGGTTCGTACGAGAAACGTCCTCGAGACGAATATCGACGAAACCGGTCGTTGATAGCTGCAATGCATTAGGAGCCGAAATTGTTTTTTATAAAGCTATTATTACCCGTACGGCGTTTATTCGAATACCTAGGTAGCGAAATCCACCGAAATCCGTACGTGATAATATATCGACCGCCGCACTCGAATAATTCCGTTTTCGACTATATTGTCACACGCGCCATTGAAATAACGTCGAATATATCCGTTCCGGCTTACCCGAGCTGTCATTTTTTTTACGGAGCTCCTTGAAAACATCGTCGACGCGCCGCCGAAAATCTGTAAAAACCGAATTATTCCGAAAATATCGCGGTCTTTCGGACACGCCGCTGAGCTGCCAAGTTCGTTTCAGAAACACCCTGTATATACGGTATACAGACGAGGGTTTGTACATTATAATATTATCACCGGGGTGCGTGAATGTGTATATGTACGTGTGTGTGTGTGTGGACGAGATGATTTGCATGTAAAACAATAATATAGCAATAGGTACTGTGTGTATGTGTGTATTATTGTCTCCTTCGACTTTGGGTCGGATGTGCTGACGATGTTTTAGCCGCGTTTTCGCGCTGATCCGCAGCGGCCTAGGAGGACGTCCATCCGATTGGTACCCCAATTTTTTTTTTATTATTATTTTAGATACTCAGCGGAGCGAGGAAAGTATTGGTTTTACAATGGTTTTTTTTTTTTTTTTTTTATATACTGTGTACAACATTTCTCCTAAAAATATTATTGTCGTTGGTAACCGTTATTATTTATTTATTGTTATAGTTAAGTTTTTATTATTTCAATCTTTTTTTAACAATCGTCGTTGCCGTAAAAAACGCATATTATTTTTGCAAAATAAATACTATATTGACCGAGTTCCGCTCAGAATCGTTTTTTCATAAGAAATGATTAATCGTTATGTATACGTATACAAATTGAATACCTTCTCTGCATCTATTACCTTCCCAACTTCTGACCTAGACCAGTAGCCCACCCGTGGTGCGAAGTATGTCCGTCCGTTGTTTATGCGTGTCTCCAATTCCACCACCACCAGCCCACCCCCCCCCCACGGTTTATAAAAGACTTCTCGTTTATATTTTTTGACCGCATAGTTCTCGTTACATATTCGTGTAGTATAGGTAGGCAAGCTATTATAGTCCGTCAAATTCCGTGACGTTTCCTGTAACGGAATTGCCGAAAAATTCGATTTCCGACAGTCTCGCCGAAACCGTTACTGTTACCAGACCGAACACAATATTGCGGTAACTTAATTCGTTTCGTTTTTTCTTATACAATATACGTATATTACAGCGCGGATTTGTTATTGTTCTTTAACCATTTTTTTTTTTTTGATTTTCGTAAAAAATACGTGCGTTATTATTAAAAAAAAAAAAAATATATACGTTACTTTTCGTATTTTCGTGCGGATCGCACGAATTGACAATTGCGAGTCGCAGCGGGGGAAAAAAAACCCGTCGGTCATCGTCGACGACAACTTTTAAACCGTATATAATTGTTTTTTTTTCCCGTCGTTTCCACCGACGAATATTGCAGGCGCGAATAGCGGGCGAGGAGAGCTTCGTTCTACGGTCCCCCCGTCGTCCAAATCGAGTGTTTATCGCGTCGTTATTAGTGATTGGACAACACTGCAAGGGTGTTCGGCAGCCTATCCCGAAATATTCGATAGTCTACCGACTGTGCGTTATGCGACTTAATTGTGCACTTTTCACAACATGCAAATCCGCGCCTTGTGATTTACGCCCGACGTCCGCAATGCGTTCGCCGTCGCGTGATTGGTGTGCACGCGAGAAATCGGTGCACCTCACATGTCTCGATCGCACGCGCGCGCCCCGATAACGTTATAAACAGATCGGTCGTACCGCGCGCAGCGCACAACCGCCGACCGGCAGAGAAAATCTGAGACGAAAATGCGTTCGAAATTCATCTATTGTTTTCCGGCCGGACAAATGTCGCGGCGGTTGGCTTTTCCCGCGAGCTAATAATAATAAGTCTCGTCCGGTTAAACAATCCGTGTTAATAATAATTACAAACGGTAAATTAAACAGATGTCGAGCATCGAGTCACTGTACTATACGTTTTTGTATTTTTTTGTTTTTTTTTTTTTTGGGGGGGGAGGTTAAATTAAACAGGGAAACACGGCGAAAGACGCGTTATTGTTTTTTTATCGGCCGTTTCTGTTACTATTCTGTTGTACTGCAGGGCGGTTTTTAATATCGGTTAGCGGTTAGGTGGAGGTGGACTACTAAAAGTATCTTGCCGAATCGAATTTTACGCAAATTTAACGAAAATCGGTCGGACGTAGTGCCGGGGACGGGGGGTGGGGGGGTGGGGAGGAGAGGATAGTGCATCCTATACTCCTACTGCAATTTCGCGTATTTATGTAAAATATAAGTCGGTCGGTGTCCATTATACGACATTAGGAAATTAAAAACGAAATGTACGGAAACTTCGCGTGTAGGTACAATGTACGCCTGCACAGTACATTATTGACGTTAATGCGTGCCCATGTTTAATACCGTATTAAAGGTCTGGATATAAAAAAAAAAATACTTGAAGTGTTAAGTTAAAGGGCCTTTCCGCGGCATTGTTTTAACGTGTGTTTAGACGGCGGCGGCGGCGGCGGCAGCGGCGACTGCGCGTATTCGAAATTATACGTTAAACATAATATAATAATTATATTATATTGTATACTTTGATTTGATTCGACAATTATGTTTGGGAAAACAAATAAAACGCTTTTTATTAATACTATCAACGTATAATAATTATTATCATATAGTAATTCACTATGAAATGAGTAAAATTATAATTTAAATAATTGGTATTTTTTTTTTCTTTTTCATTTTTCGACAATACAACTAAGTGTAAAATTTTATTATGATACGTCGTGATAATCATGAAATACTTTCGAGATTGAAACGGTTTAACAAAAAAAAAAAAAAATCTTTGTGTTATGTCTCAGCAAATCCGTATACACGCTCGAACGAGTTTTTTTTCACAAATATTACAAATGTAAACGAAATACATTCGAAATATCCAGAGTCGTATACCTAAATAATATATTACGTTGACGGACAAAACAACTTTTTGTACGGGCATTTCTCTTTTCTATAGGGTTCGGATTCGGAAGCAATACAAACGATAAAACAAAAAATACACCCATCCCACCGTTAAAATGTGAGAAAAGGCATTTTTTTTTTTTTAATCTATTTATTCAGTATGTTTCTACGAATAAATTAGCGTGTTAAAATAACAATCAAACAAATTCGCGATCACATAATATTCTTCTAAGTTTATTCAAATATTCTTATACTGTATACTTGCTAAACTGAACCACGACGGTTTTGCCCCCACGCTTTAAACGCATTGTTTAAAAAACAATTCAATATTACACGACATGACGAAAAACCGAAACACACATTATAAATATTTTACAAAAAACTATTAATTTTTTAATCAGTATTAGTAGAAAGAGTAGATGAACGATTTTGTCCCGAACATGTTCTTAACTATTTTTTTAACAATTAAAAATAATAATCTTTTACCGATTACACCGGCGATAAGTATATGGCTGCGGTCGCTTTGATTGATTCGTACAAATTTGGGCGTCGTTATCGATAATTTATTTTTCGAAATCGTTATCGGCTGCTAATCGATTTTCCAAGATTCGTCCCGTTTTTACATCGGAACTTCCGGCGCATAACCGCTTTAAACAGTCATTGCCGATTGCCGTCCGTATTCTATTCGATTATCTTACGTATTAGTGTACGCAAAACAGAAAACTAAAGCGTTGTCGATATTCAAAATTTGTAATCCGCAGAAACGGCAGTGTATTAACGTCGTTATTAATTTCAAACACCGACGATGACGCAGCGCTCACAGTCGATATAACGATCGGAAAGTGGCGACAATATTATTGTGTAGTGATATCGATACAAAAACTCAGTGTTGTTTTGTAATTCTATTTATTTATCGAAATTCTCGGAGTGTTATTTCGGAAGTCGGCAGTTCCACCTATTTGCTCCCACGAAATAACATAGATAATATTATACTCTTAACACACAATAGTTTGCGAATTAATCGCCGTCGTCTCTGTCGTCTCTCCGATACGTCTATGACTCTGTTGACATTAACCGAAATCGATGTGTTCAGCGACTTCGCCGTTATTATGCGGATTCGCCGAGTTCAATCAGTGTACACATTATATTATTTATTTTATTTTATGAATTATTGTTATTTTTTTTTTTTTTTGTTTTATAACGAGTACAAAAAAAAATTGTTTAAAAACCGAACGTTTACGGGCTTAAAAGTGAATATATACACGTCGATACGTAATTTATATATATATATATGCATATATGGTAGATGAGTATAGTTTTTTTTTTTTTCAATTCCAAATACATAATATACATATAATATACCTATCGGATTCCGACGGTGATGTATATTTATTTTTTCGATTATTATTTACTCTAGCCGCAAAAACTGCGCTCGATCGGTTCGCGTGTATTATAATATATACAGGACGTCCCAACGGAGATCTGACGAACGCAACAACTCTTGTTCCGTTCAATGGTTGAAGAGACTTTTATTTACCCGTAATAACAAAAAACGACTATTAGAGCCTTTCCCTGTACGATTTCATTATTTTCCATGTACTTTTAGTATTTCTGTTCGGAACTAGAATGCGAAAAACCGTAGAGGAAAAAAAACATCGGAAACGAAATATTATGTATCGAACTACGCGTCAACAGTGAACGCGTTTGTCGGGACACCCTGTACGTACGCGGCGTATATGACGTATATACGCGTATACGTATCGTAATCAAAACTCGATACACATAATATACACGCACGTATATATTACGTATACATTGTGAAAACAAAACAAACTGCGGACTTTGATACGGCATTGCTCGTCCGAGGAGAACACCCGACACACCGCCGCCGGGTCATTCGTGTTTAATAACAATAACGGGGGCGCCCGTACACCGCGGAGACAAGAAACAATACCGTCGCTCGCTCGCTCGTGAACACGGGCGAACCCGGGACGATAGATTGTAATGCGTGTGCCGAGGACGCGCGGTATACACGGCGAATAAAAGACAAGACGGCGACTGCGTGAGGATATTAATCCGGGAGTATCGCGCCCGCGCTGCTCTAGCGTATAAGGGGGGGGGGAGACGATGGAGGGAAAAAGGGGAGGGGGCGGGTGCGGAAGGAAAGGCTTTATTTTAACGCGAGGGCATTATTAATGTGTACGGTGCGCGTCTCGCGCGTGCACACAATCATAGGCCACGCCGTGGCCGCCTCCGCGAAAAGATGAAATCTTTAATGCGAATTTTTTCCCCGCGCGTTTATTATTTTTTTTTTTTTTTTCATTTTTTTCCCTCCCCGCGCACCGCACTCCGCGCTATATTATATTCGTCACCGCCGCCGCCGCCGTCGTCGTCGTCGTCGCCGTCGTCTCCTGCTGCTCTGCTGCTGCACCGCCGCCGCCGCACGGCGTTAAGACAAAAGAAGTTCGCCCCAACTGCATCGTATGCGGCGGCGGCGGCGGCAGACGTATCGATATCGGGGGTAGAGGACGCGCAAAGTGTCGCGGTAAATCGAGGGAAGAGACAGTGGGGGGGGGAGTTGTCGGGGGCGTAAGGGAGGGTATGGCGTAGACGACGAAAGTAGGCAGACAACGTTAAGAGGTCTATAATATACTGCACGCGCGAGAGAGTGCAACGGCGGCGGCGGCGGTGACGACGACGACAATCCTTGAGGACCTCGTGCATCGGGTGACTGATGTAAAGTGAAAAAAAAATCATCCCCGCGCCCACGCGATGATGCCTACTCGACGGTGTTTTTTCCTCTTTTTTTTTTTTTTCCATAAGAAGTGCCCCCGAGACACACAAAGAGAGACACGTGATAATAAGACGGTCACGCGGGATGACGGGCGGCAGCGCGCGGTCGCGGCATTATAATAATAATATACCTACGTTATTCGTGTATATACGTACTGCATGTTATACACGTGCGTATACTTCGAGGGTCGGCGCAAGTGCCGAAGCAAAATACGAACCGCGACCGATAAAAAAAAAAGAAATAAATATAAAAAGTACCGCCGCGGGCGTGTTTTTTTTCCGCCCCCTAATTTTTCGTGTCTCCGCGCGCAATCGTTTTCGCGTTGCGGCTCGTCACCGCGCCGCAGACGGCGGCGGTTTTCGCGCGGCTTACCCGAAAAAGTATTTTATTGAGTACGCCGTCGTCTGGGGTTTTTTTTTTTTTACATTTTTTTCGTTCGCTGGTCGCGTGTTTATCACGCGCTACCTTTCCGCCGGAAACGGCCCGTGATACATCGCAGTGCAACAATATAGTCATACAAAGTCGCGAAAATGTGAAACGTTCCAATTTGTATACTTTTTCGAAATATTACGATGACTTGGAAAAACTGTAAAACTATATAAAAACCGTACACTATAAAATAACTCGACCGGGTTTTTTTGTTGTTGAACGAGTAAAACTATGCAATGTAATAGCTAAATTATAATAGTTACACGCAATTTTTCATTAAAATCGAGCGGCGGATTTGCGTAGCGTCGCGTTTTCCATCGTGGTCCTGAAAAATCATACTGACGCCTATTTTCTCGACAACATTTTATTTTAAATAACGTCGTTGCTTAGAGGGGTTGGCGCAATTCCTACAATTTTTCATGGATCTATTTTTTCAGGGTTAAATCGTCTTAAAAAGATAATACACCGTGATCCAACCATCTTATACAATATTTTGTTATTTTCATGGAACACTCGTCGGAAAAATTATATTAGATAGTGTCAAGGCCGGTCTGGGTAGGGTCTGACCTACTATCCCAGGTACAAAGGCGACCCAGCTCGATTTTTGTTGATGGCCTTTTTTTATGCCTTATCAAATGTTGTTTAAATGCGAGTATGTATACATTATTATTATGTTGCCATTTTAATGAAAAACGAATCATGAATGCGAGTAGACTCTGTCTCATTGTCTCCTGTACAGTCCATGACCTTTTTGGGCACCGGCTCACAATCCAACTAAAGAACAGTAGAGCTGTACTGGTCCTGCCGTTCGGCCCTGGGTAATTTACACGGAACTTTTGCGGTACGGGTAAATTATTTCTTTCGGTTTTCCGATGACGACCGTTGTTACATTATAATATATGCGTGTATATTGTCGTGAAATGTGTCGGCCGCCGAGCAATTTGTATTTAAATTTATAATTTTAAACGATGCCGATGACTTATTTGCTTGACAATATTGATAGTTTCGCACCGTCGGTGACGGTATAGCCGGCTAGGTTACCAACCTATACCTCAATTACCTAATACGATGAGTTACCGTAAACATTTTAGACCAAACACTTATCGCTACATATACAAACCGTATGGCGTAGGTACCTGCAGCTATACATTGCAGTTGTATTGCGTATATAGGCACTCACCTACGGGTAAAAGAGAAATTTTACCGTTTTAAAGATTATAATATCTATTATATATAATATATATAATAATTACAGTGCACACTTTTAAAATTAAAAAAGTTACTACCAGTTATACGTATACCTTATACAGCGAAACACGGACGGACGATTCATTGAAACCGTTAGCATAAAACGAAAACAAATATACCGTCGCGATCTTGAAAACTGTTGAAAATTATACAGGTATATACAAAAAGAAATTAGAAAATAACGCATAAATAGGCGTATTTTTAAATTGAAGTTTTTTTTTTTTTTGCAATCTTATTTTTTTAAATTTGTGTACATGTATGTATATTTTAATAATTTTACATTAATTGTATGTATAATATACAGCTGCGAGTATTTATTTATTTTTTTCAAAACGTTGTCGTCGCCGTCGTCATCGTCGTACCGTCATTTATATATACACGAGACTTATGACGATAAAACTTTTTTTTTTTTTAATTTACCTACCTATTACTACGTTTTTTCAGCTTTTATTTCAAATGAAACCGCAGCCTATTAAAAAAAAAACCCCCCGCGCACGTATATTATATATGTTAGCTGGCTATATAATATGTATACATATATTGAAGGATACCGGAAGAAATAAAAAAAAAAAATACCTACCTCAATCCTTAAGAAATAAAATATCGAGCCGAAGTTTTCATTTAAAAAATAATTCCCATTTTTTTTATAAATGCTATTACTACCTAGGTATAAAAATATTATAAACAAGAGTATATTATAATCGAAACGCAGCAGCGTATGTCTGTGGGTTGTTTGTTTTTTATAGAGCTACTGAAGTAGCTGAATGTAGTAATAATAAGTAGAAATGTTTCGACTGGTAAATTTGTATAATATAATTATACTTAACTACCGAATTCGAGCAAATCGTTTTCCGTTCGTCCGACAACCCCAATATTTATAAATCGTAGACATTATCAATAAGTCCCGTGTGTATAGTCCAGTGATTCCCAACCGGCTACGGTCCGCGGGCCTGTCGTTATCGGTCCACTATAAACGGAACTAAAAGATTTTTGAATAAAATGTATTTTTTTTTTTTTCAAAAGGTTTTTTAGTCCATCCAAGCGCACAACTGTTAGCAATGATAACTGCTTAAATGATAATAGTAAATTATAGTAAATTTGTATGACAGAAATCTTTGTCGATAATAGCCATCTTCGTAAGCCACGTTGATAAAATTATTTTTGTATAAAAGCCAAAATAAATCTCTCGAATCGAGTTGGTTCATGGCCTATCGAGATTTCTCTAAGTAGTTCATATATATGCTATAAAAAAAAGTTGGGATGCACTGCATTTCTACATAATATGCAACGCTATTGTTTTGGACCCCTACTCGCTAATAATAATAATCAATTCTACATAATAACGCGGTGACAATAATAATTTTGCAATACTATAATACTCTTAAACAACGCGAGAGGGTAATAATAATTAGGGCAAATATTTATATATAATATGATTTCGCATATTTTTATTGGTCGGTCAAAAACATAGCTATTATTGTCTAAACCGAAATGTGTTTCGTCACCTAAAGAACAAGGTTCCTATACAAGGTTTCTACAACATTTTAATTTGGAATTTTTGTATTTTTAGAACATTATAGGATATAGTATAGGTATTAGTATAGGATTTTGTACATTTTTAAAAGCGTAATATTTTAAGCGTCATTTCGTAACATTTTCAAATCAACAATAAACGATAATTACAAAATAACGGTTCGAGATGTATAATAACATAATATTTATTAGCATGCGATTATTTTGCTTATTTTTATTTAGAGCAAATCTACAATTCATAATATAAAAATACGAAACGTTTGTATTCAATTTTCAATTATGTTTCGTTTTTTTTAGAGTATGTTTAAAATTCTCTAGGATAATAATATTTTAAGTACCTAAATATCCGCCTTTGTACTGTTAAAATTATATTTCTCGAAGGTGAACTTGTCCATAATAAACTTGCGAAAAGACAGACCTAAGTAGGTATTATATTCGTACAGATAGGTCCAACATGCCAAATTAGATCCCGTTTGATAAAGGGTACTTATTATGAAAATGAGCCGAATTGGTTCTCGTTTAATACCTATATATTTAAACAATAAACGCAATAAATGTAAGAAACTATAATTTAGTATATTTTTAAACTTTTATTTAACTTTTATTTAACTTATATCATACTATGGCGGGTATTTTACAGTTATCGAGGTGATAAAATAATGTTATATCGGCTCATTGCAAAAATACCGCAAGATAACGTCAATCTCTCTGGATATGCGTATCTAAACGGCTATAATATATACCGAATAAAAAATACAGTAACGTTTCTACTTTTTTAGTATAAAATCTAAGTATTTCTAAGTATTAAAAGTCCTAAGTCTATAAGAATGGGAAGGGAAATGCGCGTATTTGACTATTTTACTGCGAACAGTGACAATCAATTTGGCTTACCTTCTTAAAATACCCTTTTTTCAAATGGGAACCAATTCGGATACACCCGTTCGTACACGGGCGAAAAGAGTTTTGTTTGCGCGGAGTGAAGTTAAAAAAATAAATAAATAACATTGGAATTTATATCAGTATACGATTTATACGCTGTAACACCTACACCTAATATTATAATGTTCTTTGTGGTAACCTTTTTTTTTTTTTTTTTTACCGAGAGGCCCTTCACGTGACTAAATTAATGGTTGTTGATTTAGGCTTATCCGGTATTATACATTATATTATATACATTTAAATAGGTACGATATTATATTATTTAATAGGTAACGCAAACACCTTTTTTTTTTTCCGTCGTCAATAAGATTTATTAGATTTCATAAAAAAAAAAAAAAACTTTGCACGTTCCGAAAAACCGACACACACGTTCGGAAAACTATTACACTAATATATCGTATAACGTGAAAAAAAAAAAAAAGAAAAAAAGCTATATAGTTAATTAAATTGTATATTGTCAACATTACGTACACACTGTATACATGATGTTCGTTCGTCGAAGCGTCGATTTATTTTTTTTTTCATAAAAAAAAAGAAAAAATATAAAACATAATACGGCCATTCAAGTAACGATCAATAAAAACAAATCTCCAATTACATTCGATTAATTCGGCCACGGGAAGCCGTACGGAGTTATTATTTTGGTAGGTACTCGTCGTTATTTTATAATCCGTTTTATTATTTCTTCGCGACGCTTTTCGGCTCATTAAAATATATCGTTGGCCTCAAGGAAGAGAAGCATTTAAACCAATTTTGGGCAGTTTACTTTTTTTTTTCATACATATATATAAAATTGTATCGTACGTAATTTTCTAGTCTAAATAACATGCGTGTATGTATCCATTTTAACACACGTTTCACTGACAATTTAAATATCTTTTGTCACTACACGATTTACTTGATTGTTTAGCAAAGAGGCATACTCAGAGTTTAGAAATGTTTGAAAATTCAATTTGCTCGTATTGAAATCTATGAAAAATTGCCTAAAACCATTCTTCTCCGACACAAAAGATTTGTGTTATTGGGAATCGATTGGACATCGATAATTTCTTTCTTCGTCTAACGCGAACTCAGTATAGCGATTTAGACCAATTTTTCAACAACCGATCGATGTAGCGAAGTGATAAGAATAATACAATTGTGAAAACAGATTTGAATTCAGCCTGAAATGTATACCCACATGAATTCGGTCAGGAAATTTTCGATTTAATTTAATTTTTGTTTTATATATATACATATACGGTGTTTTTATGTTAAAACCTTCATATAAAATTTTCAGAAATTAAGGACTAAGATCTTAGTTGATAGAAAACGAAAGAAATATCCATTCCTCGCCATAATAATAAAAATCGTATATTTTCATGGATTAAATAAATCAAACCATTTTTTGTTAAAAAAAACTCTTTACGCTAATATTATTTCGAAACAATTACAAAAGCGACGATATTTTTTTGTTTTAAAAAACTATACATACTTTTACTATGACTACTAATACACAATTGACGGGAAATAGACTCTTGTTGAGATATTTCTCTTCTCTAATAATAAAGGTCCGACAACAAAATAATAATAAATATATATAAGGTACGTTTTCTCCGTATATCCGGCTTCTTAATATTTTTTTATTGTTCCGTAGTGTGCATATAGGTTAGGTATACGCGTATTTGTTATAGTTTGCCATCGTGACAATATTTCCATGTTACAAACCGAAGACACGTCGTTTGTTCCCACCTATTATCACATAGTAGGTACGAGACCGTTCGCATCGCGTATTATTATTGCGTGTGACAGTTGTCATTAGTTCAGTATATATTTGAGCAGTTTGTGGGCCTCCGAAACACTTCACAGAGTGTAATAATAATGATAACATTGTAGACGAGGGGAAAAAATTGAGAGAGAGAGAGAAATAGAGAATGTAGGTAACGTGAACGCGTATAACGAACAAAATCCGATAGTTTTAATTATTACCATAATATTCAGTTTTATTTGTTTGAAAAAAAACTAAAACTTATACATATAATGTCAAAGATAACGTGCGCAGGAAAGAGATTATATTTACCCCCCTCCCCACTCAATTATTCGCTTCGAAATTCAACGACTATTAGTGATGTTTATTTAGTACTTTTTTTCGTGAAATTATGTTTTAGCCGATTTAAACGAGGGAAAAATCTTGGTTTATCGATAGAAAATAGCGCTTTTTTTTTAATATGGCTTTAAAATTCTCATTGTCGGGTTTGGTCGTATCAGAAGAAGATTGTATACGATTTATTCGTGAATCAATGATTATTATTTACTATATCCATCTTGTTTGAAATTTCCGGCCACGCCACTGAATTAAAAAATTCAGAGATTTTTTTGTTTTTTGTTTTTTTTTGATTTGTTTGTTTGCTTTTGTCGAAGTTCGCATTAAAAATCCTCCGGATAATAATTATAAATGACGCGATGATGCGAACGGATGAAAGACGTTCTTCGTCTCCGTTGTCGATTCGATTATTATTGGACAGCGATTGCATGGTATGGCACGTGCGCATCACTTTTTAACCCAATGTATGAATAATATGATCTGTAAAATAATCTTAATCAGCATAAAAGCAAATAGACTTGCGGACCGCGGCTGCAGCGTACACCGCCTAATATTATACACGCTGCAGTAATAGAAAGAGGGAATAGAGTTGCAGCGCAAAAGGGAGCGCACCTTTTAGAAGCATTGGGGTGTGACGGGGTGTGTATGCTATAGACAAAAAAAAAATAGGGGACGTTATAGACTACGCTAGACTCGTACGTGCGAGGGGTACGGGTGCATGATGGAAGAAAGCAGCTGCAAAACTTGGGTCTCCAAGGTTCATATATTACCAGCATATATCCTATATTTGGTCAGAAGCGATATCAATTTTTATGGACGACGTGTGTTTTTTTTTTTTTATTTTTTTTTGTTCCGCCGGAGAAACGAATTATTTTATTATTGTCGGAAGCGTCCAACACCATCACGCACGGAAAACACAATACATCCGCCGTTATAGACTTTTTTTTTTTTTTTTCGTAAAATTGAATATCGTATATTCGTTTCGATTTTTTGTCAATTATGTTGAATCGATAAAAAGTACGTATGGGGGTAATATACTTGATCATAACGTAGGTATACTGCACTTTTTATGAGTATGTAGCGCGTAAATATTGCGAGGCAACTTGGAACTGTATAGTCGCTTACGTTAAAAAAAAAAAAAATAAAAAATTGGATCACAATTTAAATTTTTCACGTCTATTTTTTTTAACAAGTGTTCAAAGCCGGTTGTGCAAACAGTGTCTAATACACTGGCGGCGGTCGTATACATACGTACGTAATACTCGTATTATCCTGAAGCGTGGAAAGATTTAGACAGGTGCGACAACTCGACAAAAGGAGTGACAACAGTAGTACATAGTAGTACTGCAGTATTATCGTACACGTCTATTGTAATTAACACCGCACCACAACACTTGTACGCCGACGATTATACGCATAATATACACTGTATAAACGCGATTAGAGAGGAAAAAGACAACTTACTGTATATTATAATAGTGTTCTAATAATTATTATTATATATACTTTGTGACACACGCGCTGCACCTTCTGAGCCATATGTGTCAAAATGACAAAAAAAAAAAATTTAAAACCGAATACTTTTGTTGACTGAATAACAATAATATAAAATAATACTAATATTAGGTACCACCTAACCAGTACCGCTATCATATATCGATTAGAACTACGTACCTATATAATATATCTACGGTCCCAAGGAACTTAAGCCAATTTTCTATATAGTTTTCAATACAAGCTAATTAAATTGTAAAAACTTTACTTAACGACATAATGGTATAAATGCTAAACGGTTAAATTACTCGACCTTAGCTAGGCATTTTTTCGCCAATATACCATACTGATTTAAGATATTTTAATTTTTAATATAAAATATGTTAGAATATATACATATATTAATACCAGTTTCGACTAAAAAAAAAGTGACAAAAATTGACTTCTTCCCTAGGATCAAAGATATGTAGGTCTTTCGTCTAATTTTCCTTAGATATAGAAACAGTTTCACTGTATAATACAGTGTCTGTTATTATATTTCCCGCGAATTTTGGACACTTTTAGCGGTTCCTTCTGGACCCTCTCCGACCGTGTTTATGTTCAAATATCATGTTTCACAGAAAATACCTGGTTTTAAATATGACCCCTATAAAGACAAACATTTTATAAAACTCTGTCAGCTATAATTATTTTAGATCAGTTATAAACGAAAAAAATATCAAAATTTTATAACGGCAAGTCAGCTAGATGAAAATTTGATTTTATATAGTGACGAAACTTTGCTGTGTACGGGTATATATTTCCACCGTCACCATCGATCGGACGAAAAAATAAATTATTACGAACAAAAATATAAAAAATAAAAGAAAACCTCATTCGTGGTATATCTTGAGGAGTGACTACAGACGCCCCGGCGGCAGCGCACGCAGACATTTTCCCCGTTTTTTATACGTGTCTTCTGCAGCGATTGGATAAAGGGCGTAGCATGTTTACAGACGGCCGATCTCATCACCACGATCCGAGAGAGTCAAAAGCCGTCTCCCAAGATAAACTGCGCAAACATTGCGAACCCACGATGTGGTTACTTACGATTAACATCTTGCGGGGTGGGTTGCATCGTAATAATATATAAAAGACCGTTCAAGTATATTATACTGGGCGCTTTGTAAGGAAAGTTTTTTTTTTAATTTAGAATTTTGAAAAAGAAAAAAAAGTGATACTTAGACTTCGACCATTACAGTTTTCATCGCACGTGTATTATATTTATTTACTTTTTTGGACTTTTCAAATATACTCAAACAATGTATTATCTTCTCTTATCGTTTATTTACTTTATGACCAAAACTATTACTTCTTACGTTTATACAAAACACTAATGACTTTTTTTAAATTTTTTGTTGAATTTTCCCGAAAATAAAGACTATAATACAGTATTTCTCTGTATCTATGTCTGTTGAACATTTATTTTTTCTTGTTACCTTTAGACACTTTCAGCTTAGTACGTTTTCTGGAAAATGACTTTTTATGCGGTCTTTTTCAAACACTTTTTTTGGTGACTGAATAGCTCCTTTTTTTGTTCATGCATAATGCATAATAATGTATAGTACCTTAAAAAATATGTATATCTTTTTCTTTTTGGGCGATTTATCTTATCGACTCGTTCAGTCAATGAACTCAAATGCCCTGATCCCAAAGTGATAAGTCCAATAAAAACAGCTTCTACTTTATATATGTATACATAGAAAAATAGACGTGGTTAAACCACTACGCACGATGCAATATTTTGGGTTGTTCATATTTTCCAGTCTGGTGCTGCAGAATATTATTGTGTATCGATTCATATTTTGTTCGTGTCTTGTTCAAAAAATTCGCATCGATCGTCGGGAAATGCAAAACGTTATGAAAAGAAGACGGAAAGGTCGCGATTTTATAGTACATAATAGGTATAAAGAAACGCGTCTATAGATTCGAGGATGCTTAATATAGTGCAGGCTATAAGTGCTGCTGCAGCCATAATACTGCAGTAGGTACTGCGCAGGTGAACAGAAAAAATAATAAGATCAATGCGGTGGTTTTTAAAAGTAGACATATGTGTCTGATGGTATTTAGGTCGACCGCAAGTTATAACCGTCGTCGTCGCCGTCGACAAAAACATCGCTACCAAATGGTGCGGTTCATATCTGGTTACTTTTGGCCTGCGCTGGTAGGTATGATATTTACCGAAAGGAAAAAAAAATGACGATGATTATAATAAAGGTGCAATCGAGGTATGAAAAAGGTACAAACGTCTCCATTGATATAACATAATCTTCATTGTCTCTCTTGGAAACGAGACGAGGGGCGAAACTCTTAAAATGTTTTTTTTTTTTTGATTTTGCGTGATGTTTGTTGTGGTTTCGTCGGGGTGACACACTGCACATATGTGTCGTGCACACGACGGAGGTAGAGCGCCAGCAGGCAGCAGTATAATAAAAGTATAATAATACAATATTATTGTAGTGGTCTCGTTCTACAGACGGACCGGAACCCGTCCGAACCGTAACAGTCATCACGTTTTCGGAAGACGATAAATTTCGAAAAAAAAAAAAAAAAAAAAAAAAAACGATACCTTAATTTGATGGTAAACGCGACGGACAAAGTTTAATAATAATTGGTCTAGGTACGTATGTATACCGTTACTATAGCGTAATTAATTACCGAGGATATTAATGTACGGGGTGCACGCAGGGTTCTTCGTCGTGGCCGGCAAAGATGAAAATTTGACGGGGGAGAATAAATAATAAAAAAAAAAAAACCGTAACTATAATAGTACCTATATATTTGTAAAATATATAAAAACGTAGCGGTACAATAGTCGTATACCGATATAATAATAAAAAGGAACGTGCCATATGCGCGAGGGCGTGCGATAAAAATGTTCGGTTTTTTTTTCCTGAGGTACGGACATACAAATCGATTTCCGTGGACCGTATCGTACGCACAGTACATATACACGTCGGAGAGAGGACTCAAGTCAAATTAACGAAAAACGTACTCACCGGCCATATGGCATCACTCTCTCTCTCTCTCTATCTCTGTAGTATATTATATAACCGTCGTCCCTTCTGCAGGACTACTAAACGGGACACGCGTTCTTTATTTATTATTATTTCACGTACTTACATATATATATATATATGAGTATTATTATTATTATTATTATTTTATATTTTTTTTTATTATCAATTTCGTCGTCGAACGCAAACACGCGATTTCTATTAGGTACTTACCCATTAAATACTGTAACGCGAGTACCTATACCGCCGCCGCAGGTGTGTTGAAACAATGCACCGTCGGCGACGAAGACGCATACTCCAAACGACTTCTTAATTGTTTTGGGCTGGAAAAAAAAACAACGACGACCATCAACCCCTTGTGCCGACGACCGCTACACGATGACTACGGTGTGTTTACCGTTCCGTTATAAGATCCGCCGCCGTGCAGATTGCAATCGCCGAACAGTTAATTGATTGCATCGCGTGTGCTATAACGTAATATATTTCTAGAGAACCCGCGAATAAACACACAGAGCTAGAACGAGAGGGTAGATATCGATCTAGAGTCTCGACTTAATATTCGAAGTAAACGTCTCCTTTGCAAGAATTTCTTCCGTATTCTATATGGACTCACGGCGTCATTCTTCGGGGCCCAGCTAAAAACCCGATACCCAGAAAATTCAAGCTTTCCAGTCTGTGCGCACCATCTCAAAAGCCCCTTGATTTGTAACGAACAAATTTGTCCACGTCGACTTGCAAATCAAAAGGACGACCGTCAACCCCCTAATCCGACGACGACCATTGCGGCGTGTTTGCCCCGTACTGTTATAAGAACCGCCGCCGCGGAGATTGTGATCGCCGAACCTTTAATTGATTGCATGGTGTGTACTATACCGACGTGCGACTTCCTTGAGAGAACCTGCGAATAAACAGAGGACGACTGAGAGGGTAGATATCGATCTCAACAGTATACGCATATATACTGCAGCGTAATTTCGTATATAAAATGGGTATTTCTTCGCGGGACACCCTGTACGTCCGTGAACGAAGACGCGGCGACGAGAGCCCGCCGGGGCCCCGAGGGCCACTTGATTTCGATAATTCGGTTTCAAACACTTAATGGACAAAACACATAATGATAATAACGTGCAGCAGTCACACGCGCGTATAGCGGCCGACCCCGCGGATATTCGATTTGCGCGCCAAAGACGCAAGTCGTTTCGCACGCGCGCGGGGATTTTATAATCACGTCATCCGCCCGTTTTGCGTGGCGACGGTCGCCGGCCCGAGGGCGTTGGAATGGTCAAAAAACATTATTATTATTATTATTATATACTTACGACGGAATAATATATTTCCGTATTTGACGGTTGATTGGAATTTCGGGCGGCGCGGATATTATTAGTGCCGCGGGGGGTAGTCCGGGCTGCGGACCGTATATGGCGGCCGGCGCGCAGAGAGCGCGCGAGGGTCGACTCGAAATCCGCGCGACGTTTCAAGATTGGAAAAAAAAAAAGGAAATATTACGCGAACATCTGCACGAGTCTTTTTTTTTTTTTTCTTATGATATTAAATAATATTACTTTTTTTAACATAGACTATCCGTGCGCCCATACAATAATATTATACCTATAGTCTGTTCGGGCTTTTATTGTGTCTCGTCTTCGCCACCGCCGTCGCATTGTTCTACAAAAGAAAACACTGACCGGGCCACGCGCCCGCGTTGCACCGGGCCCCACGTGGTCATCGGCCGTCGGTATACATAATAAACGAAGGCGAAACGAAAAAAAAAAAAAAAAAACAACAACAAACAAAAATATTATTATAATCTGTGTCGGAAATTTTCGATTAATTCGCGGCCGTGCTATCGATCGCACCTGCGATCCGTCTGCATTACGGCCGCCGCGGTCCGTCTCGTTTTGGACGTTTCGCGGGCGCGTGTTGTTATGTCCGCGCCTTCGAGTCGTCGTATTGTTTGTTGTTGTTTTCGCTTTCGTATTTGGAAGAAAAGAAAACGGCGCACAATGCGCGCACAATAATACCCGCCGACAGTAATATTATTAATAATAAATACAACAAAACCGATCACGACCGTGTGTTATGCGGTAACGTTGCATTATATAAATCTATTTGCGCGTACGCTCAGGTATTATGCGGTGTAGGGAGTCCGCGCGGACGTTTCGGAAACTCCGCTGGGAGGTCGCGGCGGATATCGCGTCCGTAAAAAGTAAACGCGATCATAAAGACTTACGTGAAAGAGTCGTTTTCGTCCCAATTTTCTACCGATTTTGCGGAAACGCGTGAATTATTTTCGAGCATTTCGACGGCCGACTTTCGAAGATCAGACTTTTCTTCTATGAATACCGCCCGATACTCGGTTTAGAGGACAGCTGGAGGTACATTGCCAAATTACTTCACCCGGACATAATATAGGAATATAACTCATTGTCAACGTATTATGACGTTTTCCTACCGTTCGCGCCCTTTTCGGCGCGAACTGAGTGTCACTAAAGTACAAAGATTAAAAAACAAAATAAACGTCTAGCCCAACAAATACCGCAACCTTTCGCCGGAAAAAAATTATTATCGATGGAAAATCGTCCGGAAGAAAAATAACCCTACTGGAAACGTTATGCCCATCACCAACGTTATTTTATGCCCACTCGATAGGCACGCAAGCCAAAAAAAAAATAACTGCATATAGCGTATTTAGGGTTGTCAACGCCTCCGTCGCCTTTTTCAGTACGCCGATAATCGTATTACCTATGTGCCCGTCCCTTTGCCCCGTTCGTCAAATATATTTTATTACTACGTTAATTCGTATTCGATTCGTGCGCGGTCGTGAAGTGCCCCATCTTAAAAGGCAATCCGAATGAAAATCCCCGGGAAAAAAAACCAGCGATTAGAAAAAAAAAATCCCTAAACAATTTTTAATATTTTTTTTTTTTTTTGTTGTTATTACTCAACTATCGATATTTTACCGAGGATTTTTCACTACCCACACTGCTTTATCTCTAAAATCAGTACTGTGGTTTCGCATCGACTATCGAATCGAATATTTGTTATGGATATAATGCCAACTTTTTCACGGATTTTCTAATCTTCGTTTTCAAGTATCTGGTTTTTGAGTGAGTCTCGCGAAACTTCGTACTAATTCTAATAAATATATTATAGAAAACGATAAGTTTTATAAAAACCACGGTGTCACTTAATATAAAATTACTCCGGCATCATCATATTAATACGACACTGTGCACGTATATCGATTTCCAAATATTCGGGTAAACATGGTATATTATTATATATATAAGCGTATTCGTTATACTCGGAGACGTCAATCGAGCCCAAAATAGCCCCTGATAGCTCGTGTTTCAAATAATTAGTAAATTATTTCTTTTTTATTTTAAAACGCTTCGTCTGACTACTACATGAAATCGTTATTTTTATTGATAAAATATTCACGACATAATAAGACCGCGATTTATTGAAATATTTAGGTACCTTATTATTTTAGGACTGTCGACCCTATACGCGTATATGTATATAATATGCAATGGTATATAGTTCCGTAAAAAACAATTATTGTTTAAATTATTCATGCGGTATTTAGAAATGCACAAAAGTACAACCGAAAAAACTGGTAACCGCACGGTTAAAAGTGGACAATTGTCTTGCCATCGCGGATATTGGTTTTTAGAAAAGCTTTTATATACTATAGGTACGCGTAAACAGCAGCGGTACGACATGTAAAAAAAAAAAATGTAAATAGTTGTATTTTACTCGTATACCTACTAACGAGACAAAGCTTTTAACCCGCGGAAAAAGCCGCAAAAAAAAAAAAAAAAAGGAATTGTTTTAATTTTATACTTTTGACGAGAGTATGCATGATGTTTGTCGCTCCTTAAATGTGTATCATAATAATAAACACCGCGCCGCGTTTGTTTATGCGAAACGAAAAAATAATAATAATAATTTTGAGAATAATTTACGTTTTGTTTGGTTATTTTTTTTTTTTCGATTAAGTTCCGAGAATATTATTACTTCTAATGAACCGTCGTCGTATATTATACGCGACTGCGGCGGTGGCAGCCGGGGCCGGTCGGAGCGCTTAAAAAAAAAAAAAAAAAAAATGCGTAAAAAGGATTGCGCCGCGTATCATCTAACGTTTAAACGTGGATCGCGCGGGAAGGAAACTCGCGCGCGCGAATATGCAAGGGTTGTAATGTGTATATATAATAATAATATATGTGCGGACGAGATATATAAAGAGAAAAAGAGAAGGTGAAATCCGGAGAGAGAGAGAGAGAGAGGGAGTGAGAGAGTGAGAGAAGGAGATGGTAGTGGTATGGGAGAGAGCAGAAGTATAGCGGAGGAAAAGACAAAGGATTGTTGTCATCGGGATTTTTATACATTATTTTTTTTTTTTTGCCACAGATGAGTTTAAGTGTTCCGTCATTTAAATTCGCGCAAAGGCGTGCGCATATAAATATACGTGTGTATACAGAGAAAAACGAGACGCCGCCGCCGCCTCCGACAAAAAGAAAACAACAATATATACGCGTGACTATCCTGCGAAATATTCAAATATATCTACGTACAATATTTTTACACGACGTACCACTGCTAGATCCTCGCCCGCCCCTTCACACCCCGTTTCCGGCGACATCAATAGCGTTATAATAAACGTGTATGTATATAGTTAGGTAGGTACGTATAGATATACTCGCGGTGATGTATATATTTTCGTGCGTTATTATCCGTTTTTGTCTTCGGTTTTGTCCCCCCGCGTATGTAAGACGCGCGTTACACGCGTTTATCGTTTATAAGAATTATGTTTTTGAGAACGTTTAAAAACACGTATGTTTTCACCCATATACACGGTTTATATTTCGTTAAGTCGTCTCGGTGTCATTATCGCGTTTCCTGCGAGACGGACCGTCGTCGTCGGACGAAATAGTAACAAAAAATAATAATATACGATGGGAAATTAATTACAGGGTACGCGACGACGAGTAAAACAACGTCGGTCTTACCACGGAATATTATTATTTGTTATTATTAGTCGGTTGTTTTTTTTTTCTTTTTTTATAGATACCCCCCGTTTAATGACGACAAATAAACGATACGACGATGGCACCGGAACCGCGTCGTCTTACGGTCTGTTGGCCACTCGTCGTCGCGCGTCGTCGTCGTCGTCATCGTGATACGCGCACGCGCGCACGCGTGTGTGTTTACGTTATGACGTTTTCGTATTGTTATTATCGTCATTATTTTTTTTATAATATAAATTATATACGGGGTGTCGAATATTATACAGTCTTGTGCCCGACGCGTGTCCTGCCGGAAATTAAAACGTGTAATTTTCGTCATTGTAAATGTCCGTCGCGCGCGCACGCGGTCTAATCGTCATCGTTGATGACGATAATAGATATTAGTATTATTATTATAACATCGGAGCGTCATCGCAACAAGCCGCAGTCATGTAAAAAATTGTTTTCCGAACGGGCCTCCGGACACAGACCGGCGATTTCCGATTCCGAATTATACACGGTTTCCTTGTAAATAATAACATTTTCTAACGGGTGCGTTTGCGTACGGACAGCCAGGACCCCGGAATACCGGGGTAGTTCGAAAATTCACCAGTTGGCTCTGCGAATCGGGGGCGTCATATTAAAATATTTGAAGATAATTTTTTTTTTTTCCAATAAAATTAAGACTCAAAAATAGTTAATAGATTTTTGGTGACACATAAATAATTGGAACACACTATTTGGAAGTATTTGTTTCTGTATTCTGAATAGATTTTAAAAAATACTCTAACATTTCCATCGACGGTACTTGATTGAAAATATTTTTCGAAATTTCCAACAGTTCGCATATCCTTTTTACTTGTACTCCTTATTTTGGGGTTTTTCTTGGGTGACACTTATTTTCAGTTAGTTCCCACCTATACAACAGTGATGCACCCGTCCGCAGATCAACTTTTTTTTATAGATTGTATTCCTGTATTTTTAACACTACGCAAAGTATTCGGAATATTTTTAAAATATTTTACCCAAATCTGGCTAATATAGGAAGAAACCAGTGAATATTGTTTCGGTTCAATATAATAAAATATAATGTTTAAGGAAAAAATACTCCGGTCACTAAATAAAATTAGTCGTGCTCGTGTACTTAAAGCAATTTGTATCCGACACGACAATATTATAGAGGGTCATTGCGGCAACGCACGCCAAAGACGTAGAGCGAAGTCGTTTGATCCGCCGCCGCCGAGACCAGAGTCGACCCATTGTTTATTAATTATGTCATCTTCTTTTCATACAATGATAATAATAATAATAATAATAATAGTATAATTAAATTTGTTTGCTTTTGCAGAGTCGTCGGGCCATGTATACAACGTATTATAATAATAATGCTGCAGTTTGCCGCGCGGTAATCTCGGTTCAAGAACTAAATTTTTTTTTCTTTCTTTTGTCCTTTTTTTTTTTTTTTAATATTTTTATGATTAAAGTCAACGTGTCGTATATTCAGTTATGAAGTTTTCGTTTATAAAACAGCCGCCTTCAATATTAACGATTAGTCTAGAATCAAAACTCACATGTTCCAAAAGAAAATTGGAAAATGAGTTAACACTGTTTTATTGGATTTTTTTAAAACGAATCCTATTTTGTAATTGGTTCGTTTAAAACACGTTTGTGCTAATAAACAAATTCCACTGGATCATGTGAGTTATCTTGATCCTGAGCCCTAATTAAAGTCGATTCACTCTGATGGTACGACACGACAAAATATTTTATCAATATAATTGTATACGGTTAATCCGTGGCAAAAATCACCGATCCATAATATGAAAACTCGAGTATTCCGTTTCAAAACTCAGATGTTCCGTAGGTATCATAAAGTCGAATCGCACACGTTCCAAAGTTCAACCTTAAACAAAAATATAGAAAACGCGGCTAAAATATTTTCGACGACGATTTTGAATTTCTTAATCTAAATTACCGAAGGAAAATTAATTTTGAATTTATTTATTTCTAATCGACTGCAGCAAACATATTCACGAAAACCGTTCGTCGGCTAAACTGAACCAAACTTCGGAGGTTTGTTATAAGTATTGTACCTATGTGTATATTTGCATATTTAAATGACTGAAAGGGATAATATATTATGCCTATTACCTAATCTATTACCTTTATACATATTATATTGTTATAACAATATAATATGTATAATATGTCGACTCTTCGCCATCGACACACGCGTACGTATAGGTGCAATATGTTTAACAAGGGGACGCGAAATGTATAATTACGCCGCACGCCGCCGCCGCCGTGAAATCCAATCTTGAATAGAAAAAACACGCGGCGTTCTGGACGAAATAAATATAAGACCCCTCCTCGTCTCTCCCCGCGCGTGTATGTATAATATTTTTTCATTGTACTTAAGCAGATCGTAAATGCGCACGGGGAATGAATCTAGCCGCTGCCCTTTTTGTTTGTACGCGTATTCGGTACCTAGAAAACCGTTAAAAGGTCTTTGTTTGCATCGGTTAGGGGACCGTTGTGTTTTCTCTCCCTTTGCCACAGCAACGTACTCCCTCGTATCCGAACCGGTTGTTCTCCACGCACGGCTGTTTATGGAAGATACTCTGTCCACGTGCCTTACGCGTGCCCCTAAAACGCACCCCCTGTGACGTCAAATCTTTTTTGTTTTTTTTTTTTTCTAAAATATATATATCCCTACGTCCAAAACACCCGGTTAGTCTTATGACGTCACCGTCCGTATACATAGGTACCAACGTATTATTATATAGGTATTATACGTGTACGAAACGGGTGTGTGGTCGTCAAAGGATTCGAAATTATCGCCAAACATTATTGTTATACGCGACACAGTTCTTTTGCACGCACCCTTTGCTCTTGCTATTATTGTATACGACTCGGTGGATTTCTCTCGCCGCACGCGTGTACACCCGGCGCTCCGCGGCAACCCTTTCACTTGGAATATTTGTTGGAAAATTACCGCGGTGACGACCGGTGTTCGAGGAGAGGGAGTGGAAAGGCAAGCTGCGTGCCGGCTACATACAGAGACGGCAACCAGGTGGTTTTGTTTTTTCCAAGGGTGGGCACGTGGACACATGCGCGTATAAAGGTGCCAAACCCGAACTTGGGGAGTTTCGCCACCATCTGCCTGTATCTCTAATCGAACTGTCCATTGACTCGCTGCAGCAGCAGCCGTCAATCTTCTGTATACATATATATTCTTTCGCGCTGGCCGTCTATAACAGTATAATTTAATAATAATATCTTTCGGGTCGTTGAATTATCGTTAATCACCGATTAGAAAAATCCCGGGTATAATAACACGGTTCGACAGTGGATGATATCAATAATTATCTATGTTAAAAACAAAAAAGCCTACGTCTATATTGGTCGTCTTAGAGGACGGTATACCCGCATCTACTGTCTCAGTCCCACTACGGGGTAACATGCAAAAACAATGCTTATATACGCAGAATAAGAAAAACTAGATTAATTTTAATTTAGAATAAAAATACCTATCATGAAATTATAGAAAACAATATTTTGGAGAGAATGCCATAGGATTTTCGTATTATTCAAAAAATACAGCTCAATAAAAAAGATACAAAAACTCTTTTTTTTTCCTTTTTTAACTGTAACTTTTTAATAATTTATAATTGAAAGAACACCTATGACGCTCCCTGCGAAATATCGTTCTCTGTAAATTTCATAATAGGTACTTTACTCTGTAATCAAAATTAAGCGAAATTATTCACTTATTCGTCCTCTTAAGATGCGTTTATATATCATAATATATAGACTGTGGTGTATATTATAATTAAATTAACTGCCGGCCGTCGTTGTTGTTGTTGTGTTACTTGTTGTTGTTCGACGACGGTGATGGTGTCGAGGGGGGAAAATGTAGAGTAGGTCGTCTGAGACGGATAGGGTGGAAGACGAAAAAAAAATCCTCAAGAATGGCACCGCACGAAAATACTACTACTACTATAATAATACGTCTACACAATACTATAATATGTAACGTGACGTCACGGGCGCTCCTTCGCGGTTACGTCAGAACCGGTCGGATACAGCTGCTGGTCGCGGTTTCTTAATGCACTACGCGCAGCCGCGTTCCTTCTTCATTCATGGTGCACAAACACCTTTACGTTATTATCGTTTTACTACACGCCCGTAGGGATCTTGGGAGGAAACGCAAGGTCGTCGTCACGGACGGTGGCCCCGCCGCCGACGTTCATTCACAACGACGGCGGCGACGACTGCGACGATGCACAATAAGAAACGTCCGCTGCCGTCGCCGTTCATTTATTTCGCGAGATTTTTTTTCCCCCTCTTCCTTTGTAAACGCTGAGCGTAACGTGAAACGCATTATTGGTTTTGCTATACACCATGAGCGATGCTGTTTTTTCTACCATATATATTGCTCCGATCTTCATTATTTCAAAGGTGGTTTAAGGTATTTTTTTCAAATTTTGGCGATTTTTCGTTGTTATTCGGTTTTATGCGAATACAAATTTTTTTTTTTGCCCATTAAAACGGTTTACGAATTTAACACGCGAACGATATTATTCGTTAAAAGCGTTTGAAATACGAATCTCGATGAAAACAGTACAAATCGCGGTATTTTGCATATTCCATTTTCCGATTTGTACGGATAAAACTTTTTCGTAAAAAAGCGAGACGGACAATACGCACTGCATAATTCGAGTAATTTCGTACGATATGTAAACTAAACTATGGGATATAACCCAACGATTTTTATACACGGAGCGAAGAGAGGAATGTACGGTGTTATTATATGATGTGTGTTTTTTGTTCGTTACCTCGTATTTTCCGCGCGGCATATTAAGACGTCTACGGGCATCGCGTTCGCGCACACACGCAGAGAGACATTAACGACCTTTCCGGTAGAAATTTCGTCTGCGCGACACCCATTGTAAGTCCATAAAGTCATATATTACGCATATAGGATGCCGGTCGCGACGTTATAATATTACGTTTTTATAATATGTATATACATACAGATACCGACGACGTTCTTGTAAAAGCGTATTGTTATAGACGTAAGGCAAACCTATATAATAATAATATCGTATTTATTCTTATTATTATTGTTATCATATTATAATCCTCGACGATTTATTGCGGTCTATATAATAATAATAATAATAATATATCGACGTGTACAAAACACGTATCGACGTCAGCCAAAACATAAATGTAAAGACACGTTTTTTTTTCTACTCCCTCTTTACGCCTTTTATTGTCGTCTCGTGTCCGTAACAAGCGTTTAACAAGCACCTACCGTATATTACACGCACAATGTATACTCGCTCGTATATATACCTAACCTTACCTACCTTACATGACAAATGCGCCGCGCGGGTGCTAAAATAAATTACGCGATCGCACAATACCCGATACAGTATAAACACCGCCCCGACGGGGTTGTTTATTTTTTTTTTTTTTTTTAAAGAATTCGCCCGAATGGCTCAGCACGTGCGCTTTGTGGCCGCGGATATTTCCATTTCCAAAAACGGGCCGCCGCGCGTCGGCGTCATTGTCGTAGTCAGCCGTAGTCGTTACACGCCCGCGACATTATTGCCGTCCGATTTGTACACACCGGGCGACGGCGGCGGTCCCCGAAGACTTGTCGTCAAACAGGCGTTACCGGTCACTCTTCGCGATCTCTTGTTATACAGGAGTCGCTTTATACAACTGCGCACAACCGCTCGCCATCACCCCCACCCCCCCCCACCCAATCGAGTTATTTAAGTATACACACCGGCCGTCGGATATATTATTATTATAATATTTTCCGCAGTTTTTATTTTACTTTTTTTTCCGCGGATGTCTTTATTACATTGTACAAAACTGGAAACACGGTGTATTTCTGGATAAATCCATAAAAATCCAACAATACAAATCGATAAATTCTCGATATCGTATTATATACAACATATTATACCGCGAGTACAAGGACAACGTAAACACGCGCGTCTTGATCGTGTACCTTTATAATATAATAATTGGTCCAAAAAGATGGGTTTTTTTTTTTTTTTTTGAAAAAGCAAACATTTTTGGCAAATGTTTTCAAACATTCAAACAATATTATTATTGTACAAGTGTTGCGCAATATATTATAACCGACGTCGATACATAAATAAAATACGGCCATCGGTGTCGGTACATTTTTCTGCAAATATTTTGCCATCTACTCGACGATATCGATCTGTCACGTGCAACAGTATTGTTGGTCCAAACGGAAGTATGGTCTGGTTGTCTTTTTTTTTTTAATTTTCACATATTTTATTCAGAATAAGTTTTAGGTAGTACACCAATATAATAATCGCGTTTTGAAAATTCTAACAAGAATCGTAATTATATGTAGATTGTAGATACCTATAGGTATAACAAAATAATGCATATTAATGCAAACGTATATATAATAATATTCGAAAAACAAGATATTATATTATGCACTAGGAAAATTGTTTTGATCGGCGAAACTCCTATCCAAAGGATTGAAAGATTTTATAAATTCCAGCATTCTACGCTCAATATTGACTTGTGGGTGTATAACTCAACTTAAGGGGACCAAAAAATAATGAAAATTTTTGATAGAAGAGTACTTACGACGAAATATGACCCTAAAATAGAATAAAACGAAACAAATCAAGGAATTTATCGACTATTCCAAAATACCATTGGCAGTACATATCTGAAAAGCAAAAGATTAGAAAAAACATTTTTACCGGGAGACTGAATGGGAAAAGGCCAGATGGTTGTCCTTGACAGAAATGGGCAAATACGATAGAGTCAGATTTTGCTAAAATAAGGAACGAGAATAGAAAACAGCAAGGCAGAGAGAGAACGATGGAGAAAAGTGGTAGAGACAGCAAAAGTTATGGACAGTAAAATCTGATAAAATTTTAAAAAATATAAATATGAAATGTATTTTCAACCTTGGACAGTAACTATAATATTATAGTTATTATTTTACAATCTCGTTTCTTGTCGTTCGAATTGTCAAAACACAATATAATACGTATATAATAATAAACATAGGTACGCGCGGTGTTTATAAAAATCGAATAACATCGAATGGCTTCACGGATAGTTGAAGTGCACAATTATTGTTGTTTTCGTAATAATAATTGATGGTCACTATAGATTAGTGAAATACCTCGTTGTTGTGTTGTTTTTTTTATTTTTTTATCAAGTTTGTTATTTTATTGTTAGATTTACGTCGTTGCTGAACCATTGCCGTAGTCGCAGTGTGTGTGTGAGTATGTGTCGTGTGCTAGATGGTATTATAATTAGCCAGGAACTGATGAATAAGGACACGCAGGTCGGTAGCCGGAGGTGTGTTTCCGTTTCGGTACCGCATCCGTGTATAATCGGTGTGTATTATGGGTACGTCGGAGAGATATAAAAAAAAAAACAACAAAACAAAACCAAATGATAATAATAATAATAAAAAAAAAAAAAGATCGCGCGGTACTTTTTCGTATAGTATACCTACTACGTACCACCTAATACCGCCAAGGCTTAGGCGGAAGGGGTCCGGCGCCGGAGACGCGAAGCTCGGAGGAGGTGGCGGCGGCGGCGATAGGGCCGGGCCCGATGATTACTGCGCGTGTGGTCAGCGGTCCTTGAATCCTTTGCCGTGCACGGTTTCCGGTGCGGACACGAAAAACGGAAGTAGAAAAACGCTAACCGAGTAATATAGCGTACTAGTAGTGCCTATACTATTACTCTACTATAATATTATAATATAATGTAGTGATGTCGTCTGATTGGCAGAACGACACAATCGGCGAACGCTGCGCGCACACGGACGCGCGTGCGGAAGGAATATACCCGGGAAACTCGAGGCCGAGCCCATACGTACACCCAGTTCAAAAGTTCTTCGTGTGTGTACCTTACCTGCAGTATACGTGCACACATATTTATAAATTTGTTCTGTCGGGCACTATTGTTCATTCATTAGAAAACCCCGTACGCCGCCATATAAACTACTGCGGCAGCAGTACGACGCGGTGACGACATTTGTTTAAAAGAAACAAGTGACACTTATTAACGACCGCCACGTGTAATTACTCGTTTAATTACAGGAATTGACTCGTTCGTTGTAAAAAAAAAAAAAGAAAAAAAAAAGTTGTCGTTATTAGCCGCTGCTTATATATGTATACAATTTTATGAAAGGTGCCCAACGGCAACAAACACAGCAAGTTTACTGTATACAATATCATATACTCTAGCAGCTATATAGTTGAAAAGAGAGAAAATGATTGTTCTATTTTTTTTTTTTATTTTTTTTTTTTTAATTCTGAACGTAGCAAGAAATTTATTGGTTTTGGTATATATAAGTACGTCGATGTTTGCTTGTTTAGATTATTTGTTCAGTACGTAAATAATTTTTCTACCAGAATCTTGCTCCAATCAAAAACTTTCTCGGTACTTTCTCGTAGCGTTTTAAATTTGGCTGTTATATTGAATAGGTTATTTTTTGTTTTCCTTAATAATTTAAAAAGACGAGAAACGGTGATAACGGCTTCTATCATTTTCTATTTTGTTTTTATTGTTATAATCCAGTTTAAAACAATCGTAGAAACCTACAATTTTCACCGAACATTTATACTAACACTTTCTAAACGATTTTCAAAACACGTTTTTAAACTATTTATAGCGGTTTGAAATTTTTGAAATTTTGATACAACGTTCGTCATGAATTATTTTATGGCACTATAAAAATATTGAAAATTTACTGTTATTATGATTTTATATATGCGTTTAAAGTACAAATTTACGAATATCTTAAAAATCACGACATTTTGTGCACTATTTTACGATTAATATGAATAAAATTGTTTTGACCCGACAAAAACTGCTAACAATTCGAGACGAAAAAACACGGACAGTTTAAATTTGTTTCATTTTCGATAGAAATTAATATCTACAATTTTCGATTTATTAAAACACTTTTAACCAAACTTTGCAAAGAAACTTTTTTTGTTAGCAATGATTTCTCGTTGTGCGTATAAATACAAATTAAATTAGCCCACATACACCATATTTTTATTTTTATTTTTCAATATCAATTAGAGTAATGTTAATATTTTACACAATTTTTTCTTTTAAAAATTATTACAAAATCTTATAGACGATGTGATGTACTTTTATCACTTCTGAAGACACATATTTTTTCGGCTTACAGTCAAACGTATTTTTTACGTTAATTTTTCGCGTGTATTATTCACCCCTTATTCGACTATATACGACGTGATTAATACATTTCAACATTAACGTGTATTTTAACAAAAACTTCGTCTATTTATGGAATTTTTAATGCCTATAGGTCGCCATTTGAAAATCAAAAGTAGGTAGTGGTTTTACCCCTAAAAATAATAGGGTGACAAAAAATAATACAAATATAAAATTGTAGAGCAGCTTGATTCTTAATTGTTCAAGAAAACAGATTCCGGAAAAAGTTAATACTTTCCGAGATAACGAGTGTCTTACGGTAGATCGATCACCCTGTATATATAGGTACCTACTGTGAATATCGAAAAATCTTGTACTTAATATCATACTGCACGTAGATTTTCCGCCGAAGATTCGGAGCGTGTGAGAATATTATATTTTGTAACGATATTCGCGCGTACGTATACAAGACATTCGCACATCTTGCCAGGGGTTCTCTTTATACTTACAATAATATTTTTCCATTATAAAAACGAACAATATATTATTATTATTATAATATCGGTTCTCGGGCCGGTGTTTGCTGGACGCGGCGGAATCGTCATTCGGAAGCCGTCGATACGCGTCTGGAGCACTACGACGCTACGCTACATAATATAATACTGCTCGCATTGTCGTATCGCGCGACGCCTTTTCCCCGGTGCACGCGTTTCGTTGTTCGGCAAACCCTTTACCTACCATATATTATACGTGCTCTGCACCCGTTTTTCGCCCAAAAACCCGGGGGCAGATGTGTCGAACCGCCGCCACTGTATAACATATACTCGCTGCAGATGTCTTAAAGACACCGTCGTCCACGGGTAAACAACATCTTGGCCCGCAAAATCGATATTATAATATAAAAATATATATTGTAATACATCGTATAAAAGAAACGAGAGAAAAAAGGGTTGTTTCTGCACTACACTCTGTCACGACGACGACCGTGAGCGCGATTCGGGTCATTGTACCCGTATTATTTTCCACGGGTCATTATATTGTGCGTGTATGTGTGGGTGCTACGACTACGACGACTATAAGGTACGGGATGTTGTTTTTTGACCCGCGGGGGTGCCTCCGAAGAAAGGGTGCGAGTGTGTGCGTGCGATATTCGTATACGAACCGAGTCCGCATCTGCCTTTTCGAACGCGCGCGGCAGATGTCTTTCAAAACGACCGGCACACGCGCCGGAGCCCGTAGTCACCGCAATGGCTTTTTTTTTCTCTCGACGTGTTTTCAGAAGTACTTACGAGCGTATAATAATAATGCGTATAATATACGAAAACCGCCTACCTGCGATAGTACGCGTACCGCACGCACCGTAACCGGTAATTATCATTAATAATAATAATAACATAACGTAAGTAACACCTTTTCGGTTTCGTTTATTGAAAACAGCGCCCGCGTCTACACGATAAAAATATAACAATATGCATAATATCGCGGGGCTGTAGAACAATACGAACGAACGGCGACGACGACGACGTATGTATAAAAAAAAATATATTAGAACAATATACGAGCTGTACGCGGTATAACCGTGGTAAACAGACGGGACGACGATGACGACGACGTTAAGTCTCGTCGTCGTTAAGTATATTGCGAACTTATTATTTCCCGATTATAATACATTATCGTCTGGATCGCTCCTCGCCGACAATCATCCTCGGCCTCGGTTACCCGAGATTTATCGTTGCGTAAAATTGTTGCCGGACGACGATATTTTGTATACATATTTTTTATAATATGTATATATAGCTGTTTGATTGGGGATCGCCGCGCACACAATGGCAATCCATCATGCGAAGCTCGAGTGTCCGACATTGATCTACTTTGATATAGTTTTTATTTTTATTTTTTTATTTTTAAGTTTATCGGTCTCGCAGATGCGCGCGCGCGCTCGCGTTTATTGTTCGCGTGAATACTCGTCGCTCAATGGTCGCGTGTCAGTTAAAAAAAAAAAAAAAAAAGAAAGGCTAAATTCGGCGGGGTCCTGCAGATGTCTGCTACGCCGCCGACGGCTGCCGCCGCCGCCGCCGTTGCTGGTAAGGGATGTAAGTTAGTAGGGCATGACGTCACCCTTGCAAATGCGCGAGCGGCGACGTCAGACAAATAATAATAATAATAAAAAAAAAAGAAAGGCTAAATTCGGCGGGGTCCTTAATGAAACGGCTCGTAAGGGGTGTGTGCGTCGCGGAAAGCCCCGCGGAGAGTTGTACGAGCATATATATATATATACTCGTCGTGGCGCGCGTCACTGCAGTGGCGGACAAAAGAACCCAACACAATATTTCTTCTCCCTCGCCCCGTAATTTCGGGAGGGTTCCCGAAAACTGGTCTGACCCTCCTCCTCTTCCCCCGTCCACCCTCCCCCCCGTCGTCCTCCAAGATGGAAATTTGCAACTTTTAAGCGTGTACGCGTCGCGGCAGAACGCGGGTTGGGGTCCGTCTGTCGACTTGTACGCGTTCACGAATTGCAGCTGCCCGGGTGTGTGTCATTCCCCCCCAAACGAAACGCGCGACTGTTCTACTACGGCTAGCTACTATACTATACGTGTACACTGTATAAAAACTACTATAATATTGTACACGCTATAATATTTCTACTGTGTACGCCGTTTCCGTGCGGTACCATTCGATTGCGTTTCCCGCGCAAAAATAACGATGACGTCGTTTTGGACGCGACGACGGCAATTTATATACGGGCGGACGCGGTCAGGGTGCTTGAAAACCGTCGTATAGTACGAAACGCGCGAACAAAAAACCATGAACCGTCGAGTCTAGACGAAAAACCTTTGACCGTTATGTGCTGTTTGTTTTACGGAACATACAAAAATGAAAAAAAACCCGCGAAAAATTCAAATTATAGAAATGCAAAACGAAATACGTATATTAAAATGCCACGGAAATACGTGTTCGTAAAATTGAATATATTCCTATATGAATATATATTTTATAAACCGAAACCGAATAGCCCAAGCATTTTCCTGGGGGGGGGGTAAACTTTCATAATATCGATTATGTACATAATTAGTATTTATTCGACAAGAACTTGATTCGGGGGAGTGGGCCGATTGAGTTGTGATGGTAAACCCCTACATCCCCACCCCCCAATTTTTGCCAATTCGAGTGCAGGTTCGTTTTGGTCGAGAATTTCATGTGTGATAACGATTGATACCGTCAAAAGACCGGATTATAATATTATAATACGATGCATGAATACACTATATATATATATATATATTGCAGTATATACATGCGAAACCAGCGAAGGAAATCTGTGTCGAGTATAGGGTACGCGAGCCGAGAGGTAGTCGGAGGGAGTGCGTTAAACGAAAGTTTCCGCGTTCGGTGATTGATTGTTATTTGTTTCAAACGTTTATAATAATAATATACACGTATATTATAATAATATGATGAATAAGAATGGCGAGCGCACGCGCGTAATGAGGAAATGACAAGGAAACGCGGCTGCGGCTGCAGTATATTTTATAGAGGAGCGAACCGACAGACGGGGTCCTGTGTGATATCGCTTAGACTGCAGGCTAATAATAATAATAATAATAATAATCATAATAGGTATATGGGAAAAAGACGGGGACCGGACAGAGCTTGTTTACTATATGTATAGGCCATCATATACACATAGAGCCGTGCGGCGAGACTTGTGAGCAGCAGCATCATATTTTATTGGCATGCTGTCGTATATACGTCAACACGTACTTAATTTGTATGTGTGTTTACAAGTATATATATATATTATAGTAGAGACTATAGAGAGAGAGAGAGAGAGAACGCGCACAGACATACGTGTCAATCACTGGCTGTGTTGCGATCGTTTAGCGGATGTCGCGACTATAATATTATAGTAATACACGCACTATACTCTGTGCGTGATGCCATCGCTGACTCGTCTTGTGCCCGACAGATTTACACTAACTCGAGGGGAAATCCTCTCGCCACCGTCACGTTAACACCCAATTGTCTCGTCCCATATAGGTCTGTACAATATATATTAATATAATACACTAACAAATTGTTTTACCGCGTTATGATACACATATACATATATAATTTCGTCCCGAAAAAAAATAATAATAACCGACAGACCTCGTTGTTGTGACACTTATCAATTACGCGCGAGATCCCGGAGCAGCAGCAGCAGCAGCACGACTCTACAAAACAAGTATATTATTAGGTATTAAAATATATTGTCGGTTATATTGCAACAGCACGTATCTCGAATTTGTTATAACGAGATTATTAACGATATTAAAACAAAACACGTGTCGACAACCCTAAACTAATTTCTCAGTTTGTTCGGTATTTTATTACGTGATTACCATTATATTATTATGGTCCAATGTATTAATTTTCAAAGGATAACACAATGGGTGAAAATATTTGTTTAAGTCAGCAAATTTGATATTTGGAGTCGGTAAAATGTTTAATCCCACCTCTCTGTCAGTTTTTGATGGCACCGGCTCTATGAATGGATGTTAATATATACCGGACGAGAGACAGAAACAAAAAATGCTGTCAGAAATAGAAAACGAGTAGCAGGTTATTATAATGATTATTGTTTGTCGGTTTAGTATAGGTACTTTTATCATTATAAGAAAATTGCAGTGAGCTTCGTCCCCGAAGATCCAGAGGTACCTTGAACGCACATTACATACCGAGACATATTGCCCCGACGAACAAAATGTTGATGGGCGGGGACTACAGACAAATTATATACACGCAAAGATAAATACTATTTCTTTATAAACGAATATTAGAACTATAATTACAATATGATGGATGTATCAAACCGTCCGAATCCACCCTATATGAGAAAAACATTTTTTTTTTACCCTTATGATTTCCTCGATCGATAAAAAAATTATATATAGATTTCGTCGATATTTATCAGATTATTTCGTTCTTCCATCCCCAACCCCCAATTTCTCGAATACGGAATTATTTGTATAAACGAAATCACTGCGCCCCTTGGGAACGTCGCTCGTTGAGTCTATACACGATGCAATAATAATAATGCGACGGAAAAAAAAAAAAACAATAATGTTTCAAAGTTTATATTTTTTACCGGGGTTAACGTAGTAGTGCACAACTGCACACCGCCCCGTCGGTACATTATTACTTCACCGCCGTTATACTACTGACCTGCCTTAACGGCACGAACGTTTTGTACGCTTGCATCATCGCTGGCACTGTTTCTGTGTGCGCAATTTCGACAAAAGTTTCTTCCGTCCCGTCATCAAAAAAAAAAAATCCCGCACCGCCGCCGCGCCGTCGCCCAATCGGATCGAGTGGTGACAAACACAAAAAGAAATTTGTTTTATATATGCGTTTTTCATATTTTTTCTTCTTTATTCCATGTATATATATAAATGTATATACATTTTTATACGCATTCAGGAAAAAAAAAATCACTAAAACACGGGCACAAACGCGCGCGACGACGACGATGACGACGACGAGACGGAAGAGAGAGGGCAAAAGTCCACGCAATAGAGACGTAAGACATTACACGGGTAGTTTTCCGTCTCCGTTGCGCGTACAAGTACTTATAATCAACGGGGTGAATCGAAAAGAGGGCGAAAAAAACGAGTTCAAGAAGAGAGGAATAGGCGGAGAGGACGGAATAAAAAATAAAAAAGGAAAAAAACGAAGCCTCTTTTTATAATTACAACACAACCCCTTCTTTTCCTTTGACTTGTGTTTCGCATTCTCGTCGTCGTCGCCATCGCCGCCGCCGCCGCCGTCGTCATCGTCATTAATCCGCAATTCATATACCGTGCGCCGTTTCTTAAGGCCGTGGTGTAATAATTATCCGGCATTAATATTACACTACTCCGCGCGACGGAGGAAAAAAAATAAAATAAAAATAATCAACTTTATAATATCAAAAATAATATACCCGTATTATTATATACTGCTGCTGCTGCCGCTATTTGCTACTGCTGCTAATGCCACTGCAACATCTCGGACGCATATAATCACCGTCGGTATTTTGATAAAAACTCATTTGTTGATTGATCATTATCTTAATTATTATTTTCAACATTTTACATCATGCACTCGTATGTCTATACATACAATTAAAAAAATGTCTTTTTCTTCAACTTTTATGTTTATGTTATATAAATGACAATATACATATATCTATGTATATATCAATATATGCACAAATTGAAACGTTGTTATTATCACAGATGGGGATTTGGAAGTTCGACCCCGAAATATAAAGTACTCTATAATGCCTACATACTTGACAAAAAAAATATATATAATAATGTACCATTAATTTACGGAGATACAAAGATGATAATTTTATATAATTGTTAGAAATCATAAAGACTCGACGTTTTCAATAAATAATCGGAGTTGTAACCGCCCATATTATTGGTGATTCGTTTTAATACATTTTTATACGTTTATACTTGGCTACATCTCCATCGAAAGTTATCTGTAAAAATCATGGACGTATACCTTAATGGGTAAATAATATGCATAATATTTGTCAATTGTATAAAATTTAAATTGCGTTTTAAGCCTTACGCTTTTATCATGAAACAATATAACAGAGATTAATAAATGGGGAAAACCGGGAAAAAACGGAAAAATTTATGAAATTTATTATTTTCAAATCGTAAATATTACGGCCTTTCAAAATGTATGTAACCTAACTCCGCTCAGAATCGTTTTTCCTTAGCAATACAGGTATACATTATACTTACCCTCTATCTTCACAACTTCTCACCAACAACAGTGACCCACCCATCGTGCCCATCGTAATTATTTTCTTTTTGGAAAAAATGATTAGTTATTAACAATATTTCTATGTATGCTCATGCACCCGTATTATTTCTCAATATACACACGCGTATTTCGTAAATAATTTTAAACTACAAAAATGTCATGCTATTTAATAGTATAGGTATATTTTAATAATATATAAATTGAATAAGGGGAAAATATCAAAATTGTGGTGACGAAAAACCGGGATCGGTAACTATTAATCACCGTTTACACTGATCGAAAAAAAAATATAAACCAATTTGTCATACATTTAGACCGGTGCACTCTTGCGAGTTTCTTAAAAAAAAAAACACCGATTTAGTTTGTAAGGGAAATCTAAATCGGTTTACTTTAGCGAATTTCTTGATAATACACACAACAATAAATCAATTAACATGACAAACTTGAGACCGCTGCGCGGCTGCGTATAATTGACCGAGCCAAAAATAATAAAAAACTATACGACGTTGTTTATTTTTAATTGCTGTTCGTAGATAAGTTAAATTTATTTTTCGTCTCGCGACGTATATTTTAATGCGTGTATAATTGCTAATAGACGCTATGGGTTTACGTCATTTGTATTCCTGCGGCCTCTGAATTATAATAAAAATAATACTTTTGAACGACTGTGTATACGTATACAATAACCGTACGGGCGCGACTTGAAGGAAGCGAGGAATATCAATTTACTCATTCCCACATCAGTTAAAAACAATGGTATTGATCTTAAACACTATAGACGGGTTTTTTTTTTTTTTTTTTTAGGACCGCTCGCGCGCGAGTTAATTGAGCGGTCACAACAAGCAGTAGGACACTGTATAATAAATATACGAGCTTATAATCGCACGACAACGTGCATAATATTATTTTCTCACACGCTAAATACACATAATATATAGTAGCTGGTAGCATAAGAATAGAAGCGGTAATTTTTTTAATTTTTTTTTCCACATTACCGGAACTGACTAGACGACATGTGTGTGTGTACAGTTATTTGTCGTTGTCATGGACACACTGCACGGTGACTGTGTGAGAATTCGGTTTGGTAAAATATATTATCGTTATTATATAAATATATATATACATGTTGTTTTCGTGTATTGTTATCCAGAATCCAATCTAAAGAGTCCCGCCGCTACGATAATAATAAGGCACCCCGCCCCCGACCGAGTATAACGAATTCTAATTTATTTGCGTGAATATTTTATATAGGTATACCGATCAAACGAGTAAATGTGTATAGGATATTTCGTGTCCGCCGTCTCTGTCAATTATCCACTTCCTTCCTGGTCCGGTACATGTTATAGTAGGTACGGACACCATAATATAACCATATGTTACCTGCGCTGCAGTGCGTTTGTGTGTGGACCAAACTCTCCCTTATCGACGGACCGTATCGGTTTTTATGCGAGTGTGTGTGTGTGTGTTTGTGTGTGTGCCCGCGCGTCTGGTCATTGACTACAACCGGAACTTTCCGGACAAAAGAGTAATAATATTGCGCGGAGTAATTTCAGTAGTTTTTTTTTCCCGTTCAAACAATATAAACATTGAAAACGTATTAATATATACATATAATATAGGTACATTATTATAAAAAGGTAAGGCTCCGTCGTACGTTATAACATATACATGAACATAATATAATAATAACTACGTAAAGTTTGTGAAACGAATCCCTTGATGCATGAATAACAAAACGACGGAGCAAAGGGCGATTATACATATTGTACTGCCGGCTACTACACTCGTTGTAGTATTTATTTATTCACCATGTATGTATGTACGTACTCACAAAGATAATTATTAACAAAAAAATCGAACTCCCACGTATGCATGTATAGGGGCATTGTTCTCAGGCGATTTTATCGTTGTTACATATTATGTATTTATTATCATTCGTTTTCCGTTCAAAGATCGCATCACCGATGTGCAACAGCAACAGTTGCGTTTTAATTGATCCGACATGATTCAGCAGCAAATAAAATAATAATAATAATAATAATACGGCGAACGTGATGATATTTTATACACGAATAGCGTACACCCGAACTGTGCGCGTTATATTATCGAGCCCTCTCGTTCGCAAGATGTGCAAAGTGTACCTTTGCGCATACGGCCGACGGATTTTCCGCGGAGAAAGACACGCGATGCGCGACAAAGGTACCTCGGTATAACATACGTTTATAATCGATAACGATTGCCGAATAAAACGGATATTAGGAAAAAAAAAAATCAACTCGAACCGGTCGTCACCGCGCGTTATTGCAACGGGTTGCGATGATTTGGCAAAAGTCGTATGGCGTATATTATAGACCTCGGGAGTACTTTTTACGCGTATACACACGCCCCGCTTCTGGCGGCTGTGTGAACCGCGCACACATGCGAATATTGCCGTTATTAATATTGTTAATACGCGTTTTATTATGTGTGTGTGCGTGTGCGGGCCACCGCCCCCGACCAGAGGGATGACGGTATATAAACGGTCGGCCGCGATGATTCGGAAAATTCATTAAAAAACAATAACGATAAAACGGTCGCGCGGGTGCCATAAAAATAAATGTTTATCGCCCGAGTGTCTTCCGATATACCGCGACGCGTAAAGGGACAAAGATACGTTCGTTCGTTGATCGTTTATCATCTTCGGAAATTTGACTGCGGATTATCGGTATAAAAACATTTCATTGGTTCGTTTTCGATCCGTGCTGCGAATTCCCATATTATTATGCACAGACGATACGATATTATCCATGCGTAAGCATAATATTTTATACTGGTCGACAATCAGAAATACATTTCGTCGAGATTTATTCGGACCGTCTAATTAAAAAGAAAAACACCCGTGAACAACGGAGCTCCGTCACACTTTTCCACAGTCGACTTTTCGTAGAGTCTTTAATATGAATATTTGAAAGCCGGTATATTTCCCGTAAAAACACGCAATTTGTGAAATACACATTGACCGCGTAGAGGGTTGAAAGTTAAAACTCCTAAAAGTCGCATGCTTACACCGTGTGCATGCGAAATTTCATCCCCTGACTTCAGGGGTCTGTAAAAAGTAATATAATATATAATAATAATATACCATATAAACTAGTATTTTTTTTTTTTTATTTTTTTTTTTTCAATATTCAGCGGACTGAGAGCATTGCGATATAATAATATTATACATTCACCGGCTAAATTTCTAAATGAGCTATTACGGTGTGAATAATAATAATAATAATAATAATAATAATAATAATACAAATCTACAAATACCCGCTGAAATAATAATAATATTATAGTAATATACGGCGTGCACATTAAATTAAATCCGTTAGGGTCGAACGTGGTGCATAACGGCTTAAATGAGAGGGTCGTCGTGCAAAAGAATGCGGTAAAATAGCGGCGTACATACGTATATGTATAACGTCGTCGGCGAGGTGGTATAGTTTTTTTTTTTTCTTTTTTTTAATTTTTCCTTCTTTCCCCTCCCTTCCCCTTGCCCGTTAATTGGTTTATTACATATGTTTTTGCGCACTCCGCCGACAAAATCAATCGGATCTTTTTAATTATTATTATTGTACTGAACGGGTTAGGTATATATGTATATAATATTATTTCCACGGGCGGCGGTTATAGTGGCGTGGTGTTGTTCAATTAGAGCCGAGAACAAGTGCGCTGGTTGCGGCGGCGGCGGCGGTGAGAGACCCGAGGTAAAGTCGCGACGAGTGTGTGCATTTTCAAACCCCTTTCTCCGCCCGTTTCCGTATAAATATATATGTATATTTTATATAGTAGCTAGGTATATATGTACCTATAATATACGCGCGTGTCGTTGTATACCTATGTATATATGTACTGACTTGTTCATTAAAAACTACGAAAGAGCCGCAAAAAAAAAAAACAAAAAGAAAGTGGACAAAAGTCTTTAAGAGCGAATTTGTACGACTCTTTTGTGGCCTGCGGTATTCGCGCGTGCGCGCATGCTCTCCGCCACCGTCACTGCGCCGCCAACACCACCTTTCCGATTCATTTCCTGATATAGGTACCTATGTACGGACGTTATAAATTATAAAGATATGCGTGTACGTGTATTATTGATGATAAATCAATAATAATTTTAGATTCTGAGCGAATCGAAGAATATGTATCGACGGTGTTCTGTTAAAAGGTACTTTGGGAGGATAATTTGTATAAATATTAGCTTAACTACAAAATATGTTTTTTCTCGTGGTAAACTCTTATTCGGTTAGTTAAAAATAAATACTGAGATAATTTTTTCATAACACCGTAACACAAAAGATGCGGATTTTTCGCTAGATCAACAAATTTTCTAAAAAAATTTAAAAAACTGTCAACAAAATAATGTCGATACAGTGCAGGTTTTATTTTTATTGATTTCTAGCGATTACGTTGAGCTAAAGTCGAGATAAACATCATACCAGTTTACCGAGAACCGCTCAGAATAGATTTTTGATCGTGATAATTTATCGTGGCTTGAAAACTAAATTATAACTTATAATATAATATCAACTATACCTTTTAAACTTCCCACGTACAATAGCGACCTACCCTGCACTGTACGAAGTGTGTCCGTCGTTTTATTTATCATATACAATATTTCATAATATAATAAAACCCGGAAGAAAAACCATCGGTTGAATGTTTCGTTTTATCATACTGCAGTAGGTATTTGTAGGTATGTATAAAAAAAATCTCAACTTTCGGGGAGATTCAAACCTATACGAACCCTCCCCTTATCCCGGTTGTGCCACTGCACGCTAACAGTATCGTTTTTTTTTTTTTTTTAATTAACCGTTTTGCCGATCCGCTAAACCAGCCAAGTCCATCATATATGGTAGAGAACGCGAGACTAAAATAAAATCATATTATATATAGGCGGGTACACGCGTTCTTAAGACGTAACGGAAATACGTACTCGTGTACAGTACCTACATAGACGCTTATTAGTCGTACGGGGAAAAAAAAATAATAAAGAGAGAAAGAATCGTTTCGCAATGTACAATATATATTATTTTATTATACTCGCGTCGAAGAGTGCCCGCAGAATCGGTTGTATACGTATGTGTGTAAAAAAAAAAATCAAAAACGACCGTTAGAAGGGTGCGAACCCCTATGTATACGTATATAAATATATGCTTCTCGCGCGTCTTGAAGATATTATTATTATTATTGCTATTGCTATGTATACATGGGGGACCTTATACAGGTATTGTTATTTGCCGGCGAAAAGACGTTTTATATTGTGTATATCCGGGGACTAACCCTCGGTGACTTCCTTACAAGACGCGAGGAAAAAACCGTTACGCGATCGCAATATACAGCGGTCTTCCCGCGTGTTTCCCACGAGCCAAAGGCGTTCCCGTGCCACCTGGACGCGCGTTCCGCCCCTCTTTCTTTGGCTTTTGCTTCTTGGCGTTCGTCTTTTGCCCGGCTCCCGGACCGGTTTTACTTCTTATATATCTATTATATTTTTATGTATGTGTGTGTGTGTGTGTGTGTGTGTTAACACGTTATTTTTTTCCCCTCCGACGACAACGCATGTATACAATATTTATGTTCGCGTTTTGATTTTTACGTTACACGTCGCGACTGTAATAATATTATACGCGTTCGATTTTTATTGCGACAAAATAAAAAAAAAAATTAAGTTATTTTCCACGACCTATTATATTTTCTATGCGTATGTCCAAAACACAGAAATCTCGCGTATCGGATAATATTAAGATTTTACGTAAAATTCAAGATATTTGAAGTTCAATATTGTGTTCGTGTTTAGAAAAAAAAAAAATAAAACAGTGAATGTTAAAATTAAATCGTTTTAAAAATATAAATACGTATCACGAAACTATATCACACACTACTACATGACCAATGACGTGCTGAAAATAATTTTCTTGAGGAGCCCCGACTCCGTAAAAATATAGGCGAATGTGTGGATAAGACAAAAACTGAAGACCAATACATAATAAAAAAGGAATTTGAATACGTCATAATATTCATAGATTGTAATGATATTGTACGTAGGTATACATAAGAATTTTAGTAGGCGTGTATCCAAATAAAACGAGTGGTTTGGTGGGTGTATACAAATCTCGATTGCTTAAGTAAACGTATAATAAGTTCAAAACGTCACCGAACGCGTAATATTGTATCGGTTTTAAACTCGAAACTCAAAATAGTGACTTTTATTGTAATCGATTGGTATAATATTTAATAATAATCAATGATTAATATGATATTACATGGGTACGTACCAAACATACAAACATGTTTCACAACAAAACGCCGTACACGTTTATAAAGACCGTGTTAAACGCGGTAAAACAAACGCGTGTAAACATAACAACGATAGTTTACCGCGGTGTTGCGATGACAGAATCGAAAAAATATTATTTCAAAATTTAATGACAGCATTTTGTTTTCTCTGAACGACGCGTTAGCAAACGATTATAAACCGAAAAAAAAAATAATCGATATAAAAGATGTGCGGATATATTGCGGCATCAGTGGCGGCTCGAAGGAGGTGTATATTTATTTTGAATCACGTGATTGACAAAAAGCCGGTTGGGCGGGTCGTGAGTGCCGGACGTCCGGAAATATAACAAAAATTATTACGTTTCTACAAACAATATGCAAAGTCATTAAAAGAATTTTCGACTGCGGAAATTCGATAGAATTGGCGGATTTTATTGAAATTCAACAAATACCTTTGCGGTAGGGTGGGGGTATTTTTTTGGTCAAGGAGGGGGGGGTGGGTAGACAATTATGTCGGTGATTCGGGGTGAAAATTCGTCGAGCCGTCACTGTGCAGCGCTATTTTTATATTATAATATCCGCGGTCGGTTTACCTATATGCATAATATAATATAGTAGTTGGGTGAAATTCCGAAAAATCAAAATAAATAAAAAAAACAATAGTATTATAAATAAGAGCGTATATCTGTAGGATATTTGACGGTTTCCGTTGCACAATATTTACATAATAGGAAATTTTCAAATCCTGCAGAAACGTCGTCCTGTTTATATATATATATATATAGGTCATATACGCGTACGCTAAACGGGTTAAAATACAATTTTAGTTAAGTACTACATTATGTTGTAATAAGTTATGACGTTGAATTAAAAAAAAAAAAAAAAAAAAAATATTAAAAAAACTCCCGACAGGTTACGAACGATCGGATAGTACAAAAATCGACAAATTAACACGATTCGCCGTGCGAGATTTAGATACCTATAACGCATATAATATAAACGATTAAAAAAAAATAATAATCAAATAAATATACATGTTGTAGTCGTTGAAAAAACTTCAACACGAATATTGTAGAAATTAATTATAACCGCCGCCGCGTATATAACCTAATAACGCGCTCGCGTAATTTATACGGTACATACATAATAATATATTGAATAATAATAAATATTTGAAAAGGTTAAATAGCTCTACAGCTGGCGTAAACTTACTGTACAAATTAAAGTCAAGAAAAGTATGCGCGCGTTTTTTTTTTTTTTTTTTTTTTAATATGGCGCAATTTGATTTATGAACTAATTGCAGGGAACGACATTTTTTCGAAATAAATCTATATACTCGTATTATATACCTACCACCCATACAAAGTGTACAAGTGTACGTGTATATTAACACGCGTTGATTAAATATATATATATATATATATATAGCTAACACAATTAGACCAATATATTATTATATTATTTGCTTATAATTATTTTTATGTTTTGTTTTTTTGTGTTCGCTAATGGATAAAATCTGTGATGTGAAATATTTAATCAGCTATTTTACTTTGTTCTAAATTATATATCCATTTATATATTGCACGATGATACCCGCACCATAAGAGTATTGAGTTTGTATAACACGCGAATTTTCCACACGGTTCGTTAGACGAAAAATCGAAAATCAAAAAAAAAAAAAATACAATTTCGAGTTTTTATAAAAAATCATATTACACGTTTATATTTTTTTCGATCGTTCGATATATTATTATTATTGTAATTGTATAAAGAAGAAACTCCCGCTGTTCGAGTATGTCCGTCGCCTATATTATATACCTTTATATATATGCGTATACTAGAACGTTTTTCGTATAATATGAGTACTCCGAAGAAAGGTAAAAATATTATAATGTTCGCTGTTAATAAGATTCGATTTTTTTTTTATGTACTATACTATTGGTATATATTTCTCCGGACCGTAATTCGCCTGGAAAATAAAACCAGAAAACCGTGTTTGTCCGGACAGTAAATCGCTAGGAAAAAAAAAACAACCGCCAGAAAACCGTTTTCGACCGAACCGTGTAATTCCGGAATTAATGTTACATAGCTATTTTTACTTAAACAAACGTACAAATTCCGGACGAATTCGGTTTTCAGATTACCGGGGGGAAATACATTCCGGATAAATACGGTCCGGCGATGTACTGCAGTTAGGATAGTAGGGCGTATTTTTTTTTTACATTTTTTCCTGGGAGGCGGACACAAACGTTTTCATTCACTAATCCGTTGTATTCGTTATAAAACATTTTTTTTTTCCAAACAAAAATCTTGCTAATAGCCGTTTTACGTTATTATCCACGCAACATTATATTATAATGTATTCTCGATTCAAAATTATCAATTAACATCCGTACATTATAATGTAATAATATTTGTACACAAAATTCCATCCCCTGCAGTTCCGATCCCTATAAATACGCCACTGATTCTGGAAAATACGCTTTTCGCTCTTTTTCAACGTATAATTCCGGACAAATTCTGGATTTATTTATTAAAAATAATCTCGTTTGCTTACCACGGAATAATATGGCCTACCCGTTATATGTTATAACTGTGTATACCCCGAGCAGAAACGTCTATCAATCCTAAACGATATTCCTATTATATACCTAATATTATACTATATACGGGTACACCAAAAAAAAAACTTGTTGCTTATTATTATTATTATTATGTTACCGTTTAAGATATTATATGTAGTTCCGGTCGTAAGATTATCGATTAGTCTCGAGTGTGAAATTTGATTAAGTGCGTTTTGGCCATTAATACCCTACACGGTGTATAATATATAGGTACTATTAATGCTGCTGCTGCCGCCTCGGCTACGGGTCGGGCAGAAGCAGATGCGTTGGGTTTTTTGACATAAGGCACGAGCCGCAGGGGTATTGTACGCCCGACACATAATAGCGTGTGTATGTGTGTGTGTGTGTTTGTGTGTGCGAGTACAGTATTTTATTGTACTTACGTACACGCACACACGCTCGTATATTTCTGTACATTTGTGCGTGTGTAAAGTAATACTGTAATAGTAGTAGTAGTAGTAGCAATTGTAGGTGAGTGGCAATAACGGCGGCGGCGGCGGCGTCGTCGTCGTAGTGCCGAATACATATAGTGGCGAGTTTAGTGGGGTTTTGTGGGGAGCAGAAAAAGAAATAATAAAAAAAAAAAAAAAATAATAAAAATTCTAACAGTTGTTGTTATAATATAATTTTGATCGTTTGTGTGTGTGCAGGTGATCCGGTTGATGCGCGAAGGAAGGGGACCACCAATCGGAGCCGGCTATGTCATCTGAGGAGGACGGCGGCAACGGCGGTACTACGGCGGCGGTGACGGGGGGAGCCGAGTGTTTCGTCGGCGGTGCCGGCGGTGGCGGCGGCGGCGGCGGCGGCAGCGGCGGTGGTGGGGATTTTTCGGACGGTTCCGCCGACAAACTGTTGAAGAAGGCGAAACGCAGCAGACAGCGCGTGGATGCCGGCGAGCCGCGTAACAGCTACTCGTCAATACCGAACTTCAGTTCGCGACCGATCGTTGCCACGGCGCCGTTACTCAATCAGGCCGCCAGCTTCTACGGCGCGTTTTTCGGCCAGGGCCATCAACAATACCAGTTTTTCAACCAGGGCTTCGCGCCCGGTAAAATGCTAAACGAGTTCATCGGCCGGCAAGTCAAAGAAGAAATTATGACCATGGACTCGGCCGACTGCATGATGACGCAACAGCCGTTGTCCGGAATTCCAAATCCGGCCGCGGCCGGCCTCAATAGCGAGCACGCGCATCACATGCTCCGCGACATACTTCAGGGCAGGAAAAAGGAACTGCTAGCCCTCGAACACGAGTTCCGCAATAACGCCGACGACCCGTCGTCCCCGGACAACATGAACAACAACAACAACATCAACAATAACAAAAACGTCAGCCTGCAAGACGACTGTACGACGACGGGGTCCAACAAAGAATCCAAAATGGAACACATCATCGACAACTGCAGCAATAAACAGACAGATTCCGCCGAGGTAAGCCCGATTAATAACAATAATAATAATAACATGATAAACAATCACGACGTGGATGACTTAAACGAGGGTAGTGATTCCGAACGGTCGCTCGGGTCACCCGAGTCCGACACGAAAGAGATAGCGACCGCCGAGGAACAGAGCAAAGATTCCGAGGTAAAAGTTGAACAGAACGAATTGAAAAAAGCAAGAGTTGAAAATATTGTGTCCACGATGAGGTCCAGTCCGTCGTTGCCGGTCCAGGTGAACGGTTGCAAAAAGCGCAAGTTGTATCACCCGCAACAGCATGACAACAGCGAGCGGTACAACAACCATACGATGGACGTGGACGACGACGACGACGATGATGACGAGGGACTGAGCCCCAACGAACTTCGACAAAAAATGGTCGAGAAAAACGTTTTGAAAAACCAATTGCGCACCATGCAAGAACAGTTGGCGAAAATGGAACAAAAGTACGTTCAGCTGTGCACCAGAATGGACAACGACGAAGAACCGTCAGAAGACGTCAGTGACGTGGAACAAGAACAGCCGGAAATACCGGTGGCACGGAACAGTCCTCCGGCCGCTCCGAAGTCCCTTACGCCGCCGCCGATACCTCCGTCACCACAAATCAATCCGAATTTTTCGAAAATGGTGAAATTCCTACCGCAAACACACATGCCCATACACCCGTCATTCAACGGAGCCCTGACGTTGCTCCAGCAGCAAGTGCTCCAAGAACAACACAACACCCACAATCAGCATCACGCTATCAATAACGCCGCTGCCATGTACTTGGGAGTCAGCCACAAACTGTTTTTGGAACAGGAAGCCAGGTTAGCCAAAGAAGCCGCTATGGTAGCCGAACAACAGCACCAACAGCACCAACAGCAGCAACAACAGCAGCAGCAGCAGCAGCAACAACAACAACAACAACAACAACAACAACAGCAACAACATCAGCAACAACAACAACAACAACAGCAACAACACAATATCCAACTACAGTTGCAAAACCAACACCAGATGAACGTGGTCGCGAACGCGCCGCCGTCACTGCAGCAACACCAACAAAAAGCTACGTTACCGGAATTACCCGAGAAAATAGCCACGAGTTCCAGTTCGGGTAGACAGACTTCGACCGGACCGCCGTTTCCAGACTTGGAACTTTTAGCGGACGCACTCAAATCTGAAATATCCACCACACTGACGGGACTCATCGACACAATAATGGCGAAATTCGCACACCAGCGTAAACAGTCCAAGCTGGCGGACTCGGAACTTTTGATGAAAGACGTGGGCGATCGTAAGTCACCTAGGACCAAAGTCATTGACCGTGGTAGCCACGGCGGCGGAGACCGGAATTCCAGTTTAGCAAACGGATTTTCGAAAATAATCAACGGTGGCGGATACGGCAGCTCCAACATGCAGTTGGGCGCCGGCAGTGGTAACGTTGGCGGCAATGGTAACGGTCTATTACCCTGCAACGGACCGGCCGAAATGAGGAATGGGTTGGTGAACACAACGTGCAGCGGCGGCGGTGTCTATAACGGCGCCGATGCGGCGGCACTGGGTCACGTTCGCGGACCTCAAATGTACGCGCCAAAATTGCACGGCGCGGCCGGTCTAAGCAACGCGGCAGCGGCGGCCGCCCTGTACTCGTCCATGAGCGTACTACCGTCACACCTTAATCCGTTCTGTAATGTTGAACGCGAACCGGCCCCCGAACAGAACGAGGCCCTTAGTTTGGTGGTGATACCTAAGAAGAAACGGCACAAGGTTACCGACACTCGGATCACGCCGCGTACCGTCAGCCGGATATTGGCCCAAGACTCCATGAACAATAACACCAACAACAACAACGGCCCCATGATGGATAGCTCCAGCAGGGCGCCAGCCAATATCGGTGGCCCGCCGGCCGTCCAGTCCATGCCGCCGACCGGCGATTCCCCTCCGCCGTCGTCGCAACAGCGAGTTTTCCACCAGCAGCAACAGCTGCAATCTCCGGCCGCTCAGCAGCCACCGCCGCAGCAGCAGCAGCCACAGCCGCCGCCGCCGCCGATGTTGCCGGTATCGCTGCCCACCTCGGTGGCCATACCCAACCCCAGTCTGCACGAGTCCCAAGTGTTCAGCCCGTACAGCCCGTTCTACACCAGCCAGCACCAGGGCGGGCCGCATCACATCCCGTCCAGCCCACCCGGCATGTCCGACTCGCCGCCACCGCCACACCAGCACCATCACGGGTCCCTGCTCCATCCCGCTTTGCTGGCGGCCGCCCAGCACCACAACTCGTCGCCCGACCTGATGAGCATGAAAGCTCGGATGGACATGTCCATGGGCAACGGCGGCAACGACAGCGTCGACCGGATATCCGAGTGCAATTCCGGAGACGGGCCGTATGACGGCATGTCGCCTATAATATCCTTTTTATACAACAAACACCATACTAATTTCGTATTTTATTCCATTTTCAGGATTTATTTTATTATTATTATTATTGCCGTTACTCGTGTATCGTTTGTGTAGTACATTCCTGTTTTTCAAATACGGTGTAAACTACAAAATACTTGATAATCTCTAAAACGAAATAATAGTAAAAAAAATAATAATAATCGTATGTTACGTGTCCTTAACGATATTCCGTAAGAAATCCGAAAACAATCGAAACGCTTCGCGTGTTTGCCAGGAACTATACACGTATTATACGTACGATACCCACAAAATATTCATGTGCGTTTGATAAAAAAAATAATAACAATAATACCTATAGAGTAAAAGAATCTTTTGTTTATTGACAAAACCGCCGAATTCTGTACGGTTTTGCACCTATACGTATACGTGTACGTATGCAATCGCGTGTCGTTTCTGCCCCTCGTGTCGCCTCGGCCCCGCCAACGATAAGATTAACATAGTTACGCGTTCCCCTTCCCTCCCCCCGATAAATCCGTCTCGAATTCAAAAATATTTCTAACGGAAAACTTTAGGCGCGTTTTGTTATCGATTTGTTCGGTGCTCGGTGCGCTGCGGTATATCTCCAAAATAATATCGGTTATTTATCTGTTGTACACACGTGTATATACGCGTACGTTAAAATATATATTGGGCAGCGACACTTGAATAAATAAACACGGGAGAGGACGACGGGTGGACACGGGCCGCCGGAAGCCCCAGGAAAAACGCGCGCGCCGGAAGACCTATAAAAGAAAAACGAAACTCGCGCGATTAATTGAATTATCCGCGGCTAAGATTTGAAAACGATACCTTACTATATATATCGGTACATTACTTCAGAATAATATACTTAGGTATACTTACGTGCAATACATTATGATATATGATTAGCGACTCTTAAACTTCACTATAAATATAATATATGTATATACTATAATATTGTGTCACGAAATGCAAAAGAAAAACGATTTTTCCCTAACTGTTTATGTTTACTCGTCTACTCTGACTCCGATGCACTTGCGAAAAGCCAAGCTGATGTTCTTCTGGGTCCGGTACCCGAGCTCGGCAATCCTGAAGATGTACTTCCCCGACATCAAGTTCAACAAGAACAACACCGCACAACTAGTCAAATGGTTCTCGAATTTCAGGTAAACGACAAAACGATAAACTCGTATTATTTATATTTTTAAGTGTAATCGGCCGCGAATCTATGGGGATGTAAAACGGCGGAGGGGGAAGGGGTGCTCTATGCTTTTTTTGTTTTTCAGCAAGACGTAACAGACTCGATTTTTTTTATAATTATAAATGTATAGTGCACGCGAGTATAATAATAACTACGATATCGTAAATTATATACATTTTACGGTTCAAAATAGCGTAACTTTTATTCGTACCATTATCTAATATTCCGTCCGAAAAGTAATCAGAGTCCTCCCGCTCTCCCTTCCCAGCGTGGATTCGCGACTGATTGTGTATACATAGGTAATATCTGTAGCTCGGCACAGGACAAACGGAAGTCCAAAATGAACGATTTTCAGGTTATTATACATTTTTTGCGTGTAAAAATCCGTTTTTCGCCGATCCGTGTAATGACGAAAGTCCGTTACATATTGTTACCGTGGATCAGCGGCGGATTCGAAGAGGGGGGGGGGAGGGGGAGAAGAAGACCCCTCTGACAGTTATGTTGCATTTGTAGTCGTAACAATACGAGTCGATAATGGTTTGTAAATCGGCGATTAGACCGTTTTTTTACGACACAGTCGGTCGACAACGTCGGTACCAGACTGCGATCGCGTACCTGCGCATTTTATGTTTTAGTATTCACCGTTCGAAATCAATACGGAAAAAAATGTTGGAACCCCCCCCGCGCCCCCCGAAAAAATTAAAATCCCATATCCGCCGCCGCTCTTCTGCGTAAAACATTGTTCACGCGCTCATTCCAAACGCGTAGGCCTTTTCGGCCGCGTGACACGTCCCCGCGCGCGCTTTTCGCCGGTCACGGTGCTCTCGCGAACAGTCGGCGTACCGCGACAGTGCTGGTTCTGACGTGTAGGCACGCGGATACCGTACGTGCATGCGCGGGTACAGGCGGCATCGGCGGCTGCGTGAGACGATACCGTGCGCGCAGTCGAATTGCTGTCGCGTTCGCAGAGTATCGCGGGCGAGGGCCGTGTGTTATTGTGACGTTACGGCGCGAGCGTATTATTGTCGTATACGCGCGCAGTGGGTATACGTACCAGTACGACAGGTACTATCGCGTAAACGAGCGATTAGTTAGAAAAAAACAACACGCGCACGGTTGAAAAAACACGAAGAAAAGTATATAATATAATTCGTACATATGTGTATATACATATACATATACACACACACACGAACCATGTGGGTGTTAAATTAATATTCTAGCTTTCTTTTCGTTCTTCGCATCATCACCATGCGGGTTACGTTCTATTTTTTTTTTTTTTATTTTTTTTTTTATGTAAAGCGCACCTGCGCTTTAATAAGTGTTTTGCTCCCTCGGCTTTAGAGGAAAAAAAAAAAACATTATATTTCAATTCCGTAATATTTTACATACCTATTATTCGTAATATTATTGTAACACGTTATAGGTATACATATATTATACGGATTTATAATATAATAAAAAATGCGTACGTTATGTATATATTATTACTATACAAATAATTAATATTATACGGGAGGGATTGTCAAGGACAATAAAAAAAATAAAAACAAAATGAACCGGTGGCGTATATTACGATAATTATCTCGTTTCCTTGTGTGGTGGCCGCCGCCGCCGCCGCTGCCGAGGAGGGGAAGTTTACACTTTATTTAACATTTTTTTTTTTTTTCTCCGTTTCTTTTCATCGCCCCTCCCCTCCCTCGAAATCCGTGCACGTTCGGCGCTGCGGTTCTATTAGCACGGTACAATACGAAAAATACGATGTGCACGCGACTTATTGCAGCCAATTAACGCGCGCGAAGCTCCCGGCGGAGAGCGACCGTCGGCTGCAGCTATTTTACCGCCGCCGTTTCTTATCGTCGCGATTCGCAACGCAATAATAATGATAAAAAAAAAACACGTAGGTACGCGGGTGCTCGGTTGTGTTTACACCGTATGACAGTATAATACGGCCGTAAGTGTGTGGTTTAAAATGAAAAAAAAAAAAAACCATCCCCCCGCGCGCGTTATTATCGGCGCCTAATTTACCGTCGTATTTTTTTCGTCGCGAAAGGTGCAACGCTATACACGCGCGCACGCACCCACGCACGCACACGTGTATGCGCGTTACGCTGCGGAGGAGCGCGCACGGAATTATACAATATCAAATAATACGCGGTTACTACTCGATCATCCGCGTACGGCGCGTATGTACTCGTACGAGGCGCGGCGATAATTACGCTGAATGGGGGTAGTTACGTATGTTATAATTATTATTGCTGTTGTTTATTATATGGGGAGAAAAAAAAAAACCGCGAATTTTTCATTTTTGAGTATGCCCGTACCGTACGTTATATTATTACGTTTAAGTGTACGGTATAGACGCGCAATATGGGTACGTACCGAGTGCTGCGGTACGACGCGATGCAGCGCAAACACTCTCGCGGCGCGGCGGCGGGCAGGGAATAGAGGAGGGGCGGGGCCCATAGAAATATCCGAATGTGATAATAACAACGATTGGCTTTTCATCGCCGCCGCCTCCGTAATCATCATCGTCATCGTCATCGCCGCATCCTCGCGTCGGTTTCGCGTACGTTACGATATTGTGTGGCGTACGCGTTTTTCAACATTTGTTACCCCGCAGTCGGCGGCGGCGTGCCTACGCATTGTAACAACATCCGCGCACGATGCGCCGGCTATACGCGCATCGCCCGCGTCGCGTTCTTCGGCTATTCTTCGGCGCCTCCGCGGATGCATCGAGTGCCGTTTCGGAAAAGCGCAGCGCCCGGCTATAATACGCGCACGTGTATTACCGTTCAGACACTCGAATCGAAACGGTCCGCTGAATTCCGCTGCAATGTTACGTACAATAATATTTTTGCCTATACGCGTGCACGGGGAAATTACCCCGCCGCGCGCAACATAATGACGTACGCGATACCGTACACAATATCCGGCGCCGCGCGGCCTTTTCACGGTGCATAACACAATATGCAAGGGCGGTCCTTATTTTCGAACTTCGATCGTTTCGCGCCGGAATTTCGCATACATATTTTTTATGTAAAAGGACGTGCTACACTTCGCGCAGTTCAGGGATCGCGTGTGCGCGGACGGTTCTCGCGACGATTTCGGACAAATCAAATCGGCGTTCAAATTCAAACCTTACGTTGCGATGCAATTATATTGTCGCGAGAAACCGACAAAAAAAAAAAAATAATAATAAGAAAAGAGAAATACCCGTTTACGAAAAAGCGGGGGCAAAACTACTGTCCGGTGTGTGGACGAGAAACTGCAAATTATTTCCACCGTCACGCGTCCGATCGCATCGCTGTCCAACGCGTTGTCTTTAGCTTTTCCACACACTATATCATTACGTTTAACTTGTAAAATTTAAAACTATCAGATTTTTAAACAATAATCATTTTTTTTATCGTTTCGTAGTCATTCAACGATGATTTGATTTGATTTCTTAGCTAAATCAGTGGCCCGAATAGTTTCCCCTCCCCCTCGGCTAAAAACACTCGAACAAAAGGGCCCGCGATTCGGCGCGAAAATCTTGTCCGACTCGTAATCGTCAGAAACAAAGCTTCTAACCCCGCCTCTACATTTCAATTTCCGTATTTTTTTTATTTTTTTTATTTTTTTTACTCCCAGCGCACAGCTGAGAATATAATATATGATAGACTTTTTTGTCTGTCTGTGTCCAAATCTTTCTTTAATCATAAACATCAGGGGTGATTTCTGATGAATTTCGTTTTCTTGCATTAATAACTATACGGTTTCTTTTAATTTCCATTTCTTTGTTTTTAATATCAACACAAAGAATCGTATGAACACGAAATTCTCATTGGATACAATTTTCAACATATCGACGTATATCGATTTCGTAGTCGAAAATTTGAAAAAATTATCTAGCGATAATGTTCTGTACATTATAAAACTGTGTAATGAAAATTTTATATTTTGCGCATCGCTACATCGTGCCGGGTATCGTCGGAAAGGCCGGTAAAAATTCAATCATAAATGTTCTTGGGTGCAGTGATAATTTTTACACGCGTATAAATATTTCGCGACATGTTTAAGCTCTCAAAAGTCGATAATAACACGTCTCCTCCTCCCCTCTGGCTTTCCAGCCTTGGATTTGGAAATTCTAAAAAAAAAAATCAAAAATTGAACGCTTAACCAACACTTAATCAAAGAAAAATTATTGTGATCAGAATATTTCATTTGTATAACTACTATAGTTGTGTCATTATGCGATTTTTTTTTATTTATGTGTTATTTCCCGTTTTATTATAGAGAGTTCTATTACATCCAAATGGAAAAATACGCGCGGCAAGCTGTCAGCGAGGGAATACAAAGATCCGAAGATATACACGTGAACAAGGACAGCGAAATCTACAGGGTTCTCAATCTGCACTACAACCGTAACAATCACATCGAGGTATAATTCACGATATTTTATAATATTTTTTAGAACTTTTTGTTTGGTATACACGTTTTTTCACGATGTATCGACAACTCTGTCGTAAACGCCGGAAACATTGTCGACATAAAATTGCCGACATTGCTATTGCTTTTTGGTGTGGACGGAACTATACGAATACCATAACTTATAAACAAAAACATAAGTCTATACGGAGCATTTTAGATCGGTTTCTGTCGAATTTTCCCGCGAAAATTGAGACTATTGCATTATATTGTATTGTAACGGTTAAATTATATTTTTACCGTCTTCCGCGTACTATGCTTCTCCGTGTGGATCAACTGAGCTCATACGTGAGAATTAGAGTTGTTTCATAGGCGGATTGAAACGAACAAATTCTGGTTGGATTTCAATATAAATTTGTGTTGTTGTGGGATACGAGTGTTTTTTTCAATTTTAAACACCCCTACAATCCCCAAATAAAGCCACGGGAATGAAATTTTGTACACGCGGAGCGTTAGTATTGAGGATTTACCTTTTGGAGGTTTCGATTTTCCAACACCACCCCAAACATTTTTTTTTTTATTACTTTTTTTTTTTTTTTGGTATTACTATAGTATTGTATATAGTGCAATAGTATTACACGACTATTATGCGAATTGCTCGCAGTATAGTATAGTATTCGATACAAAATAGATGCGGGGGTGAGGGAATTCGACTCTATATTGTGGCGACGGAACTCTGCTGACTCGATGATGAGTTCTTTTTCATTTTTTTTTTTTTTAATTTCTATATAAAATTGCGTATGTTGTGTATTGCAGGCTCCGAACAATTTCGAGTACGTGGTCCAACAGACGTTACGCGAATTTTTCGTGGCCATCCAAAACGGCAAGGACACGGAACAATCGTGGAAAAAGTCCATATACAAAGTGATATCCCGAATGGACGACACCGTCCCGGAGTACTTCAGGACTCCGAACTTCCTCGAACAGCTCGAATAAACAAAAATATTTAATATACGCATCACGCGCGTATACGTTATAATATGTATCGTATACATATTATATAATATTTATTTTGATATCGCGTCTGTAAACTGTGCTTTTTTTAAAAAAAAAAAAAAAAATTATTATTATTATTATTATTATTGTGTATAATGTATAATTATTATTATCGTGTTTTTTTTTTCTTAAAGAAATTAGGAATAAAAACCGAAAAAAAAAAAATTAAAAAAAAAAAAGAAAAGAAAAAAAAAGAAGGCTCAAGATATATATACCTGACGAGTTTTTTTCTTTTTTTTTTTTTCTGTGATGGGTTAATATTTTATAATATTCTATATAAATATTATACATTGTTGTGTACAGTCATTTTGAAGACAAATTTTATAACATTATATTATTAACGTTTATATTATTATTATTATTATTATTATTATTATTATTACTATTATTATTATTATTATTATTATTATTGTAACTATCTTATTATTATTATTATCGGTTTCCAAATATTTTTATAACAAATCAACAATTGGCGCGGTCTCTTTTTATTTATTATTATTATTATTATTTTTTTTTTTTTTGTTTTGTACAACGGAATCAATATAATATTGTGTTATTACATAACGTTGTACGAAAAAAAAAAAAAAAAAAATCAAAATTATCTTTAATATTATTTTATTTACATACATAATTACATTTGAAAGATTACAATTCGCCTGTATTTGAAATCGTATACGTACACGCGTAACGCGCGCGTGTAACAATAACGTATTATCGTGCGGCATATTATGCGTGTACGCATATAATTCGCAAAATACAGTCAATGTACGTATAGGGAACGAGAGACCCGCTGAAATTTTTATTTATAAAAAAAACAAAAAACAAAAAAAAAAAAAACCACACAAAATTGTATAGTTAGGTATATATATATATATATTATATAATATTTTATAATAATATTATTATTGTCCCGGCGACGGGCCGGTTAACGTGTACACAACGTACAACGTTAATGTTAATTACATACATTAATTCATTCACACGGGGTACCCATTTTTTTTTTTTTTTTTTTTTTTTTTTTTTTTTTTTTTTTTTTTTTTTACATCAATCGTTTAGGTTACGTTGATTATTAGGTATATAATATAATAATATATATATTGTTACTTCACGATTTTATAGCACTCGCGTAAAAAAAAAAAAAAAAACTTGTCGGTTTTTCCGCATCGTCCCTCGCCCCCTAATTGTCTCCCTCCCCCACCCCCACTCACGTGATCTCACATATATATATATATATTAATATTGTCCCGATTTTCTAGCTTAATTTAAATTTTTTTTTTTTAGTATATTTTTATTATTATTTTACTTTTATTTTACATTAATTTTTTTTTTTTCTGGTGTGGTGAGTTTCTCCTAGTCAAATAAATTTACAAAAGACAATTTAAAAAAAAAAAAAAACATTATCGTATTATATTATATATATATATATTATATTATATTTATTTTTATAATAGTTCTCGCGTAACAATATTATAATTTCGTCGTTATCATTTATATTATTGTCATTATTATAATTTATAACTATTATCATTTTTATTATTATTTTTAATATATTATCGTTTCGTTCCTTCTCCACACAACAAACGCGGTACCTCCATAACGGTTTAATTTTCATTTTTTTTTTTTTTCTATCAATATATAATCAGTTTACAGACAGCTACCTATTACAATACACTTATACCGAGTATAATTACTATTATACTGACTCGTAATATACAAATACACACGACACACACACTCGTGCATATATATTTACATACATATACAATACACATACACGCATACAATATACATACATACGCATACATATATTATATTTATCTACGCATACACACAAATAATATTATAAGACAGACAGATACAGACAGGCAGACAAACAGACAGACACGAAACGGTGTTTACGTTTTATTTTATTTTAGCACTCGAAGAACATCATCATAATATTCTATAACCGTCGCATCGTCCATATTATTATTACTATTATTATTATTATTATTATTATTATTATTATATATTACATACTAATATACACAAGTACACCGAACAGACGACTTTGTATTTTGTTTGTTTTTCGTTTTTGATTTTCAACTCGCATATATAAGTACAAAATAATATATAATATAATATCACATAGACACGTTTCTGGGGTATATATCGGTAATAATGATGATAATACATTATTATATTATTTTTATATCCGGCGGATTATTTTCCTTTATTTCGTTAACACGCTCGTGTATTTTATTTTCTGGAAAAAAAAAATAAAAGAAATCTGCAAAAGTTTAGACAGATATTTTACACACACACACACATACACACGTACACTCACACACACGCATACACAACCGCCGCCAGACACTATTTCATATTATCAGACAGAACACGTGCATACTATTATCGTATTATAATATTAGACAGACGTACAGACAGACAGACAGACAGACACACGCACACACACACACGGTTCGTATATATATATATATATACGATACAATAATACAATATTGTATCGTATACCGATACACAAACATATTATTATTATAACGTTATGATATTATGTATATTCCTATACCCATCGCCGTCGTATAGGAGAGGGACATAATATCGTTTTCTTCAAAAACACTCGATTAACAAATTATAATAATATCATATAGACGCAATATCAGCAGCAAAATCATATTTATACTTATACAGTATATATCATACACACACACCTACACACAAAAACACACACACACACACACACGCATACACAAAACTGCAGCAATAATTACTACGGATTGTATCGGTTTTTTCGAGAGGAGGATCATTTTTCTCCGGCGCTGGACAAGCCGAGAGCTGCAGGACTCTCCGCGACACGTATAATAATTATAATATTATTATAACCGCCGTAGCCGACGCCCCCGTCGCAAACCGATATAATTTTTTTTTTTTTCTACACAGCAAAAATACCGATCGAACACAACAATAGCAATAAACCCCCCCCCCACACCCACGGAATGTCGATGTTAAAAAGAAAAAACGCTGTAAAAACCAAATATACACGCGTATAACGTACCGTCACACATTTGGGGCACACTACACGGGGGATATATATTTATACGCATTCAATTTTCTGTTTAGATTCGACCGGTATCCCGCGCCTACATATAATACACTATTATGTATTAAATTATACATTATCACATACATTTATATACAATATGAATACATATTATGTATGTAATACATAATTAGACAACAGATACACACACACACACACACACACACACACACACACACACACACACACACAAATACACAGAATCGCGGAAACACGATAATATGTTTCAATTATATTATATTCGTGTTTTCGCAACCCTCGATAAATGGCATTGTAGTTTTAAATAATACGTATTACAATAACTCTAAATGTTATTTTTTATTCGATTTTTTTTTTCACTTAATATATTACATAATTATTGCTATATACTAATAATACATTAATATATACTACATACATAATATTACATATAGAATGGATAAGGTTTCTGTTAAAAATCATTTTTACTACATAATAATACCTATTAATATTATACACAGTGTGTTAAACACATTTTTTTTTTTTTTTTTTTTAAGTTAATTATAATAATATATTACGTTTAAGTTTTGACGATTTTTTTGTTTTTCGTTCCGGTGTGTATCCATTATATGTACGAAAAAATAATAATCTAAATCACTAGTCATTTTTGTTATTTTTTTTTTTTTTTTTTTTTTTTTTTTTATAATAGTTAAACAGTTTTTCGAGTGTGCTAGAATAATGTTTTACAATAATTAATATACATGTATTTAAAAATAAAATACTCATAGTCATACGCATATTTCTTAATATAATATTATAATAGTTCAATAAAAAGTTATGCCCCGGGCTCCGCACATTTATTAGATAATTTTATAACATAGGTTTTTTTTTTTTTTAGTTATTATTACAATTTTCGACCGTGTTACGTTTCTCTCGTGTTTTGTATAAAACAATAAAAACTTATTGTTTTCCCGATTTTGTTTTGTTTTTTTTTTTTTTTTTTTTTTTTTTTTTATATTTGTTCGTTCAACAAGACTGACAATAAATATACCCACCCGTTTATTATTTTTATTTATTCAATTTTAGTAATAATGTATTAAACTAAAGCGTAATAAATACATAATATATATTTATGTATGATTTATATCGCTTCTCATGCCCCACCACCAACCCCGTCTAGTTACCTCGTGTTTGTTCTTCGACTATATACAACTCGTTTGCTCGCGTAAATTTGTACCCACATTATATTGCGAAACAACCACGTGTATATAGGCACACGTTATGTTATTTAATGACGATTTTTTTCCCCTTGTTTTTCTTCCCTTATTCCCTCTTATGATTTTCCGTATAATTCGTCGTATAGAAATATCGTTAGTCGAGTGAGTCGAATTGTTCGCAAACATTTATGTCGACTGTCGAGTACGTAGTATAATATTTCGATTTTTTTTTGTTTCGTTTTACGTTAATTATTTCTAGTTAATACCTATTATTTATTATTGATTATTGATTATTAGTTATTATTATAATTATTAACGCTGAACTCCTCCCGATTTTAAAAGTCCCAGACTTTTGTTCGGGTCTTTTTTGTTTTTGTTTTTATTTCCTACGCAGATAACAAAATATGATTTTATTATTGTGTAAAACGAAAATGTGGCCCGGGGTATCTATAATTAATGGTTTTTATTTTTGTTTTTTTTTTTTTATTTTTTTATTTTTATAGTAATTCTTTAACATTATTACATTTAATCGAAACGTTTACTTATATTATTATTATTATTATTATTATTATTATTATTATTATATTATTATCAATATAAAATCTCAAAACCATATTAATCTAACCGTATGATATAATAAATAATAATATGTGCGTATGTTCCAAACACGTTACACACGCCTCTTATAATATAATATATTATAAACAAATAATAATAATAGTTATTGCATTACTAATATATAATATATATATAAATAATATATATATATATATAATGTACATGTAATCCTTATTGTTTTTTTTTTTTTAAGATATGTACCTAATAAAAGAAAAAGTAAACTATAAACCTAAAACTCGCACGTGTACTATTTTTTGTTCCCGAAAATCCATCGCTTTAACTTTTCTATAGGATGTTTGCGGCAGTCCCGATTATGTGCAATAGCCGTTGTAATATTTACAGACATCACGTCTGTGGAGTTCGGCCCAAGCCGAACGTAACTATAATACTATAAGTACAGGGTGATTCGTTAATCAGCGTGGTCATTGTTTGGCTGATACGTAAAATCAAGTTTGATTCTGAAATTCTGAAATCTAAAAGATCACGGCCCCCATTTCTTGTTTTAAATTTTTGTATTTATTCTGTGTTATGACATTTTTTTTTTTCTTAGATCCTCTTCATTGATTTTAACATTTGTATGTGATATTATATAAATAAAAATAACAGGGGAAATGAGTATACTTGATAGTAATACATAATTGTCTTTAGCTAGATATGTCTTATTTTAGTGTACATTGTTTTTACAAACTTAATAAAACGAAGTATATTTTTCTTCTTACATTAAAAGATTACATTTTAGATTCTGTGTGGAAAACTTATGGTTTTACTATGATGTTTTTTTTTTCATGTGTAAACAACTTTTCTACCAGAAATATTTCTCCGATTAAAAAGTGTATTACTTTTTCTAAAAATAAATCTGACTGAGGTGGTACTTAAATGTAATAAATATATTAAAGTATGATGACTTTTTTTGATTTTTCTATGATTTTCCCAATAAATCGGAACAAAATCTGGGGGACACCTGGAAAATGGAAAAATGGGTACAATATTAAACAAATATTGTTAAAGAAAATATTTAATGCATATGTAATTATTTCTACCGTAATATGACATTTATTTTATATTGTTTACAAAGCAACACTAGTTTCCTAACTCCGCTTAGGATCGTTTTTTCGTTAGCATTGGTTAATCATTACTTACAGATATATATTAAATTCCCGTCTGTATCCTACCTTTCCAACTTCGGCAGCTTGTGCTAGGAGTGCAAGTTCTTAAAAGGAAATAAACGTAAAGTAAGAATAAGTATAGTTACAAATGATAATTAAAAATAAAAATTGCAATTACAAATAGAAAAAGGAGACTTAATTAAACTAAACAATTAATATAATAGAGCATCAAATCTTATAACGTGATAGTTTGATCCCAAGTTCCCGCGGGTACTATAATAAATAGTAGTTAGATTCCAGATTTCTACAGATTGTACACTAGTTAAGTCTCAAGTTAATAGTGAGTAGAATTTTGACAAAGTCAAAAGGCTCTCTTTTACATTTTCACCCAAGTAAATTTAGTACATTAGTATTAAATGAAATTAAATAACACAGTTTTTTAAATTTTTTGTATATTATATTAAATTAGTATTCATTGAATGACCGGAGACCTCCTTCTCAATGTTTTCCAAAATATTAATTAATCTGGTAAAACAAAAATTGTTTAATCATACCTGTATTTTATTTTAAACTGTCTTAAGTCTGTAAAAACGAGAATGAAAATTTGTTTTATTGCCTGTCATACGTTCGGATTCAGGTAGTATATAACCTGCCAAAATCCGGAACCCAACTAGCATACAGTACCCAAAATTCATGGGGACCGACTAGTTTATACCTATCAAAACCACTTGGATCCGAAATCCAATTCAGATTTTCAGATCCATTTTGAAGTGCGCCCAAAAACCTACAAGTCCTAATACGCTGCCCACGACGGGTCGCATATTTACATATATACGTATACCGCTTGGACCAAACTCGGATAGGGTCTGTAAATATGCCGACCGGCATCGGCACCTCCGTGTGTTTTCAAAAAAGAAACTTAACCTTAATTAGCCCTCCACGAAGTTTATAGTAACAAAACACACACACATACACACACATGTAGACAACGACTTGTCGAACGGACCCAAAGAAATCGATTAAACCCTCTGCAGCTTTGGGTACACATTGCTATTGTGGATGCGAGAGCGATTGGCCTTAATCAACATTCCACGGGGTCGATAGTTTTAAGTAACCGGAATACTTCGGGAAAAACGGCTAAAGAAAAAACACCGTTCGTAAGAAAATACCAACGCCAGCTGGCTGCTATACTTTGCGTGCAGTGTTCTACGTAGGTGCAATATAATTGAAAGGCTGCTGGGGAAAAAACGACCGTATTATACAATATTACCAACATTTTCACACCGATAACTTTTCCCCGTTTGCGCTCGTGCTACACGTGCACTTTCCTTGCCGGTATTTTTTTTTAAACTCTACTGTGGCGCACGGACGGATGATCTTTTTTCCTAAATCCGATTCGTGGATCGATTCGTCCGGGAACAAATCGCAAGACGATGTTTAACTCAGGCGTTTCCGGGAATTTTCAATGGTAGAAGATGGAATAAACAATAATCACGGTTTTTGAATGAATCGTATAATCGTCTTTTGTCGCGCTTGTTGTAAACGTCGTTTCTCACGAGACATATTGCAACGCTCAAAACAAAGTAGGTACATACGAAATTTTAATTCAAACACAAAATACAATTCTATTTAAAGCCCAAACCGGTCATGCATGTTACACGACGTGCATGCCGACACTTCTTTCTTTTCGATCATATTTTCTGTATTCATAACACGCTTTGACTTACTAAATACAATTAATTACATTTTTTTTTTTTTTTTTTCACTCACTTTGATTATACTTCGCAACATACCTAACTCGGCAATGAAAATTTAAAAGCCTATTTGTAAAAAAGCTATTTTTATTCTATAACTTTTATTTTCCCCTTGTTACTTAACTGAATACATGGTAAAAATAAAAAACATATGGTTAAAATTATAAAACAAATACTTATAGTTTTTGTATTTTTAACCGAATGTGGGATATACCCCATAACGTCCTCCTTCCTGCGCGCGCCACTGGTGTAACCATATTCATTTTGACATTTCCTACAATGATCGTTTTTCTTCGCAGTCCTTCAATTATATTGCTCGCGCCCAACACCGCGACAACTAAACGTACGTTTGACAACTTTGAATTGTATTTCCGACGAGTTCTACCCCGTCCCAATAGATACTAAAACATAACGCGCCGATTTGCTTACGGATTGAATATTGTTTGAGATTCCGAACATAACGATGAATGTTTTGATTTTAGTATGATGTATTGTTGTGTGTGATTTTTTTCTATCAGTAAACAAGTTTTCTACCGGAGATCTTTCACCGACATCTTTTATCAACAGTAATTTTTTTTTGTTTTCTTTGTAATTTTAAAAATAATTAGGGGAAAAAAACTCTTGAAAATTGAACATAATTACGCAATAACGGTTTTTTTTATTTTATTCGATTTTTGTTTTTTTTTTTTTTTTGTTGTAATTCAGATGAGAACAATCGTAGGTGTGAAAAATCAAATTTCGTTAAAATCGTAAAAATTACAAATATTGTATGTACTATTTGTCGATTTATTTGAATAAAACATAATTGATTACATAAAGTAAACATATAAAAAAAAGACAAAGGATTGGCCCTCGAGTGTTATAAAGTACAATTAAGTAGCACGAAACTGTATGGCAGTTACTCGGCCACTCAGGTAGTAATTACATTTCACGTTGATGATTTATTTCTTATTTTATACCAATTATATTTTTAATTTTGTAATTTATAAACTGAAAATATAGCATTTTTTATTTATTTTTTTAATATTAATATTTTTGTTTAGATCAGCGTGGAGCGTAGTTTTTCAGGTTTGAAATTGATATGACCTAAGTAGAAAAATTCTATTGATCATGCTGTTCCACAAAACATTTTGATTGTTAGAGAAAATATGAAATAATCAATAATTCGTTTATTTGTATTCATTAGGTAATAAAATAAATTCTTTACTTTTTTCTCCTGGTTAAAAAAATCTTTGTTGTTATTTTATTAATTATTAATATAAATATTTTATTCAAGACATTTATTTATCCTTGATTACTTATTATTAAAAGTAAAACAACTCATGTTATTGTAATTAGTTTTTAATACTTTATATACGTTAAAATTGAATTGAAAGTTCAGACTTATCTTATACATAAAATTATCGTGTCACAATGTTCGTCCCCATACTCCTTCGAGACGGCTTGATCGATTCTCATGAAATTGTATATGCATATTCAGTAGGTCTGAGAATCGGCTACTATCTAAGTTTGTATGCTCTGCGATAAGTGGTTCCGGAGTTAGGGCCTCTTAAGTCAAAGTATACTAGCACGCACGATATTCAACAATTATTATTTTGCTATGCAGAGATAATATACACTCTATGTGGTTATTTTTTATTATTGGTTT